TGAATCAATTCATGATGTTCATGGGTTACAATGGGAAGCTATGGGTGATTGCGATATGTCCCTAACTATCTGAGTTGGTGTCGAAGAGAATGACCATGGCCTTTCCCAAATCATTTGATTTTTTTTAGCCATTCATTTATTTAGTCAACAAACATTTATTGAGAGTATATTATGTGCCAGATAGAATGATATATGCTGGCAATACAAAGATATTTAAGACATAGTCATATCCTCAGGTAACTCATAGTTCACTTGGGACCTAGCTATTAAAAAATCTCAGAGGCTGGCTGGTATTTACTCAGTGGTTGAGCATCAGCCTATGAACCAGGAGGTCATGGTTCTATTCCCAGTCAGGGCACATGCTGGGTTGTGGGCTCGATCCCCAGTAGGGGGTGTAAAGGAGGCAGCTGATCAATGATTCTCTATCATCATTAACGTTTCTATCTCTTTCTCCCTCTCCTTTTCTCTCAAAATCAATAAAAATATATTTAAAAATAAAAAAATCTCAGAAATATTATACCATCTATATACAAAAACTTTGAAAATGTTAACAATAATAGCTAACTTTTACTGAGAACTTATGATGTGTTAAGTAATTAACATACATGCGTGATCTCATTTAATCCCCACAACAACTGCATGGGGTACGAATTAATAACTAAGGCTTAGATAGGCTAAGTACCTTGTGCAGTCACATTAGCTAGAACGTGATAGAACTGAAATTTAGACTTAGGCAACCTAATTCCAGGTCATGCGTCCTTCTGAGAATGAGAGAAGCTAATGTTGCTAGCCTCTTGATAAGCTAATGTTGCTAGTCTCTTTGTTTCAGCAAGATGAAACAAAACATAACAGAACAAAGGAATTAATTATAAGGCAAAAGCAGGAAGATTTCAAGCTATGAATCATTTGTACACTTACCCAACAAAGAAGAATTACAAGCAATTTGTGGGATGCTGTATTATTTATAAGCAAATAGGAAGTTACTGGAAGAATCATCAGCAGTGACACAAAGTAGAAAGCTGCTTTCCTGCATTTAAAAGCTCTTCCATACATCTCTAGCCACTATCAATTCTAAATAAAGGCATCAGGCAGCCTCAGAGTACTCCGAGCTCTGTTAGGGATACAGTAAGCTCTTTCTGGGTATGGTCACTGAAGGGAGAAAAGGGCATAGTCCATGCCTGATCTGTTCATGGCCAAAGAGAAAGAAAAAGAGTTTCTTACTTACAAATTCAGTTTGAGAACCCACTGGGAAGGACTATGAATGGAGGATGGGGAACTATGATTGCCTCACTTGGGTCATGGCGCACTCTGTGATCAGAAAGGTGGAAGTGCTACTAGAGATAGGGGATGAAGGGGATGCAGGGCAGACCGAGAACAGTCTCTTCAGGTATCACTGTCATCAATTCATTCAACAGTTATCTACGGACAATCTCGTATATGCTACACTGTGGGACACAAAAATGAGTAAGACAAATTTCTAATTAATGCAGAGAGAAAATATATTAAATATTTTGCAATTTTAGGAGAGAAGGCAAAATTATCATACTATAACACAGTGGTAAACAATTCTATATGGTACATACTGTATAAAGTGCTAAATTGTATGGTGCAGACCACAAGTGATGTGGTTGTTCTAAGGAAAGGAAAATCAATACGGTAGTCACAAGCGTGAATTAGTCCTTAAATGATGGGGAGGATTTGGCTAGAAGAAGATAGGGGAAGGGATTTAGAGGAAAGAAGATGGAATTCAGAGGAAAAGGCTACAGTGAATGGAGGGATGGAGAGAGAAAGAAGGGCAGTCAGTGAGGAGACTGACTTGAGGAAAGCAAAGTGTGTGCAGTAGGGGAGAGCTAATCACCACACAGCGAAGGAAAAATATCACTGAGGATATTTTTCCATTGAGTTTTACCCACCTTCCCTCCCTGATCAGAATACTGTCAGTAGTCTCATAATGCTTGAAGGATCCACATGTGTCAGAATCTGACAGGAATCTAGTTACCAACCCCCTGACTAAGTAGGGGGTAAAAGGCAGAGTAAGATTATCCATTTGGACCAGGAAGAGATCAAAGGTATCAGAACAGTGGGCACCTTCCTGTGTATATAGCCTTGGAGAAGGCCAGTGCAACTAGAAAGGATGGCTAGAAGGTAAACTACAACTTGACTGTTAGCTAAATTAAAACTAGTTAAGAACCTCTTAAACTCCATAATTTGGGAATCTCTACTTGACTTCCTGACTAAATATTTTAATAAATTTCCATTGTTTTAGATGGACTCAGGGCATATATGATTTTTCTTGATCTAATCCTTGCCTACTTGTATAGCCTCATTCCCATCTCTGCCTGATGAAGTTCCAGTCACAGGGAACCATGGGCACATCTCTGCAAGTTTGACTCATCTTGCTTTCTCATGTCCCTGGGTCCCCTGTTTGAGTGCCGCTTTCCTCTTCTGCTTGGCTACTTCCTAATGTCCTTTAAGACTTGGTTTGAAGATTTGTTTTCTTTTGGAAGTGTAGGAATATGGGTGATTTATTTAGGATTTATTGACAGGGACCTAGATGCCAATGGTTGCTGCATAGAGGTGGACAGGTAGTGGATACCAGGCCTGGGAAGCTGGTGACTGAGAACCCATTCTACAGAGGTGGGAGGGATATAGAGATAGGGTGTGTGTGAGCCAAAACTCTAATCTTATGGCACCTGCTTTTTTGTTCCATCAGACTTCACTTACAAATCATCAATCAAAGGTAAAAATTATTAAGGAAGCCATGACAGCAAACTAAGAGCATCAAATCCTAAGCATAGGGCTTTCATGAGTACCGGGCCCTGTGAGGCTGTGCTGGCCATAAGCCCATGAACCCAACCTTGCATAAAAGTCTGTTCATACAGCATTGATTAATAGCAAAATGTAATAAAGCAAAATTTTCATTAATAAGTGATTAACAAATAAATCATGGTCCAATCACACAGCAAAAAAATCATGTAGCCAGTAAAAAATGAGACAGAATATCTTATTGATATCTAACATAGATATCTAACATAGAAAGCTGCTTAAAATACTGAAGTAGAATATTATGAATATAACTATTTCATTAAAATGTAAGTACAGTTGGCCTTCCATATCCACGGGTTTTGTATCAGTGGATTCAACCAAGTGGATTGAAAATGTATGAGAAAAAAAGTTACGTTGTTTTTGACATCTTATGTAGTTATGCCTATTATGGTTTCATCTATACTGAACATGTATAGACTTATCTTTCTTTCTTTTTTTTTTTTATCCTCACTGAGGATATTTTTCCATTGATCTTTATTTATTTATTTATTTATTTAATTAAAAATATATTTTATTGATTTTTTTTACAGAGAGGATGAGAGAGGGATAGAGAGCTAAAAACATTGATGAGAGGGAAACATTGATCGGCCACCTCCTGCACACCCCCCACTGGGGTTGTGCCTGCAACCAAGGTACATGCCTTTCACCAGAATCGAACCTGGGACCTTCCAGTCCGCAGGCCGACACTCTATCCACTGAGCCAAACCAGTTCTGGCTCCATTGATTTTTAGAGAGAGTGAAAGAGAGAGGAAAAGACAGAGAGAAATATTGATATGAGAGAAACACATTGATTGGTTGCCTCCTGCAGGAGCTGGGACCAGGGCCCAGGCTTGGGCCTGGGCCGGCCCTGGGGAATAGTCTGCAACCAAAGTAAATGCCTTTGACCGGAATTGAACCTGGGACCTTTTGGTCTGCAGGCCAATGCTCTACCCACTAAGCCAAAATAGCTAGGGCTATACTTTTCTTTTTGATCAGTATTCCCTAAATAATACAGTATAACAACTATTTACATAGCATTTACATTGTATTAGGTATTATAAATAATCTAGAAATGATGTAAATTATTCTGGTGGATATACATAGGTTATATACAAATTCTATATGACTTTACATAAAGGATGTAAGCATCTGCAGGTTTAGGTGTGCATGGAGATTCTGGAACTAAAACCCTGCAGATATCCAGAAACAATGTGTATACATGAATGTCTATCTAAATCAGGGATGGGGAACATCTGGCCCGTGGGCCATATAAGGCCCTCCAAATTATTTGGTCTGGCCCTGCAAAGGCATTAGGAGTAAGTTAATTAAATGTTTGACCAAATATAGCAGACTAATTATTAAGTTGATAATTTTTATGGCCCGAGAATGATGTTATAAATAACCAAATGGCCCTTGGCAGAAAAAAGCTTCCCCACCCCTGATCTAAAGGAAAATTGGGAGGACTACCTGAATCTCTCTTTAAAAAAAAATATATATTTTATTGATTTTTTACAGAGAGGAAGAGAGAGGGATAGAGTTAGAAACATTGATGAGAGAATCATCGATCAGCTGCCTCTTGTACCCCCCCCACCGGGGATGTGCCCGCAACCAAGGTACATGCCCTTGATCGGAATTGAACCCAGGACCTTTCAGTCTCCAAGCCGACGCTCTATCCATTGAGCCAAACCAGTTTCGGTTACCTGGATCTCTAAAAAGTGATTAGAGGAGGAAAGAATTTTTACTTTTTATACCTATTTTATTTCAGGCTTTACATGAATATATATTGTTTCTGAAATTAAAAATATGATTATAATTTAACTCTAACACCTAGAAGCACATGTCTGACTCACAGTGAAATCTGTTGGCTCCATTTAAAAAAATAATTTTATTTTATTGATTTTTTACAGAGAGGAAGAAAGAGGGATAGAGAACTAGAAACATCGACCAGATGCCCCTTGCATACCCCCTTAAGGATGTGCCCACAACCAATGTATTATACATGCCTTTGACTGGAATCGAACCTGGGACCCTTCAGTTTCAGACCAACGCTCTATCCATTGAGCCAAACCGGTTTCGGCTGTTGACTTAATTTTACTTAAGAACATAAAAAGACCATGGAAAATAACCTTCCTGACCTGTAAAACATTGCTCATTAAAATTCTTACCTTCTTTTTATTTCTCCATTTAATTCTTACCATCATTGCTGGACTCTTCAATAGGAGATGCTGAGTCCGTACATTCTAGGGCTTCCTTCGTGATCTCAACCACCTGAAGCCTCCTGACCCTGACTAGGTCTGTATCTTTCAGTCCCTTCTCCAATTGTTTGACCACCTCTTTTCCAGGCTGCGAAGTCAGAATAGTAATCTGGAAATAAATCCACAAATCAATGTGTCTGCCTTCCCTGGTGTACAGAGAGAAACAGGTTAGATCTGGAGAAAAAACACAGGAGAAATATGTGGTAGTGGTTATTGTCTTCAGGGCAAAGAAGAGGCTTAATTATAACCTATAAATCAAATTTCATTTGAAATATTATCTTCACAGGACCCTTCTAAACAGGATGAGCCTACCCTAGACAGAAACCAGGGAGGTCATCCCCTTTGTTTTAGTTTTTTTTCTTTTTCTTTTTCTTTCCAGATTTCTTGAAGCACTAGTGTCTGTCCTGCTCAAAATGCTTTGACTTTATGAGGAAATAAAGAACATTGGATCCATAAATTCCACTAAATAAATATGAACTAAATAGCAGAGCCTACATGCTACTTTTTCCACAGTGACGCTTCCATGTAGATTTCTTTCCTTGTTCAACCTCGATCCAGCTGCGCTGTTAACTCTTTTGCTCTTAACTCTAAAATGTATTCAGCGTGGAGGGGGTTCATAGGGGAAAAAAGGGAGACATCTGTAATACATTCAAAAATAAAGGTAAATGAAAAAAATGTATTTATCCTTGATCAATATATCTGACCTGAAGGAATATTGAGGTGTTTATGTATAATGTGAATATTTGATTCTACCTCAATGAATATACTCTGTTTTTATTAGTAGTTTTGTCTTAAATTTGAAATTCTGGGAGGCAACTCTTTTTTGTACTTAGACTTTTGATTGAGGAAGAGAGATACAGAAGAAAACATTATTATTTTTTAAACTGTTTTTAAAAATCTGTTTGATGCCTGAGGGTACCAGACACTGAAAGTGTTTTTAATTCACACTCACACACTCAGTGCAGTGTGCAGTCATAACTTAATTATATTTTTTAAAGATTGTTACAGTCTGGCATCAGAATTTTAGAAATTTTTACACTTCCACATTTGCTAATCCCAAGCAAAGTTACTCATTTTGGTACAAAGATTTGATTAAGTTCTTAAGGGTACCCAGAATGTATAAATATAGACCGCCATCTAGGCAATTTAACGATTGCTTTACAAGTTCCAAATATTCAAAGGCAGATGGCATATTCAGATTTATCTGATTTTAGTTTTTCCTTATAATTCACTGTAGTCCCCGTTTTTAGAGCTCCTCTCGCTTCCTAGCTGTGTAGTGAGAATTGCACAGGTTACAGGACAAAGGGACCATGTCTCCTGCCTGCAGGAAGCTAAAAACCTAGACTTGAAAATGACATTCAATGTGAATGAAACAGAACGATATAAGAATGATAAATAAGAAAGCATTTAAGCGGACTGAAATGGGAAGATGGCTTAGACTCGTGAGGCCAGCGTCTCCTACCTCCAGGGAAGTGTAGGTCAGAGCTGCCCCTGTGGTCACATGTCTGCTGTACTGTTTGAACTGCTGGAGCCCATCTTCTACGGCCAGCTGCAGAGAAGTACCTTGTGGTCTGAAACAACCTTCTCTCTGCAATGTGCGGATCTCTGAGATGCAGGTCTGCAGCCTGGCAAAGTTCCCTTTCACTTGCTGCAGAGAAAAATGAATGAAAGATATAAATCTTTAGTGACCCAGGTTTCAGATTAATTGGGAGTCTAACTTCATTATCATTTATTCCTCCTCAGGAGTCCCTTCTGTTTATTTGATCCACATTAACTGAATGCCTACTGTTCGTTCTTCATTCTAGGCACTACACTCAGGTATTCCCTATACCAGAAGAATGAAGATTTGCAGTCAAAGGGCTTTATGTGGAGTTACCAGAAACAGGAAAGGAAAGTCCAGTTGTTACTACCCTGTTTCTCCGAAAATAAGACAGTGTCTTATATTAATTTTTTCTCCCAAAGTTGCGCTAGGACTTATTTTCAGGGGATGTCTTATCTTTCCATGCACTAGGTCTTATTTTTGGAGGATGTCTTATTTTCGGGGAAACACGGGTACTTAGTTTTACTTTGGGGTGGCCTGTAAATTAGAGGCTTAGCAAGGCTACTCTTAAACATTGTCTTTATTTCTCAGTCAGTCTAAGCAGTGGCAGCTTCTTTATTCAAGAGTGGAGAGTGGTGTTTTTCCAGAAATGAGGATTTTGATGTGGTTGATCATTACTGATAAGGTCTACCTAATCTGCTCCTCAGGACTACTTCAGTAAGTAAGAGATGTTTGGTTTTGTCTGCAGTCAGCTCAAGGAGCCAAGAGAAAACTTCTTGGTTCTCCTCACCCTCCTTTATAAAAACTTGCTATTAGGAAGTGTTCTAATATAATCTGATTCTAGGTCAATGTTATTAAGGATCTATGCATTTAAAAAATACATTTTATTGATTTTTTATAGAGAGAAGAGAGAGGGATAGTTAGAAACATCGATGAGAGTCATTGATCAGCTGCCTCTTGTACACCCCCCACTGGGGATGTTGCCTGCAACCAAGGTACGTGCCCGCAACCAAGGTTCATGTCCTTGACCGGAATCGAACCTGGGACTTTCCAGTCTGCAGGCCGATGCTCTATCTACCGAGCCAAACCAGTTTCGGCAGGGTCTATGAATTTTGGATAAATGTGAAATGAAAATTTGTGACACCACTTGAAGAAATTCCAAGCATCAATAGCAGGTATGGGGTGGGAATAGATGGGAGGAATAGCCAAATTAGTCCAAAATCTCATTGTAGGTCACACATGATAACTATGTACAGTGCCAGGTACTGGAAATATTGGAGGAACACTTTGTAAATTATATGCTTATCTAACCACTATGCTGTATACCTAACTAAAACTAATACAAAATAATATTGAATGTAAACTGTAATTAAAAATAAAAAAGGAATTGGTAAGATCTTCACAGTAGGGAATTCTTCTGAAACTGCTTTGAGAGAAGATTAATCATTTTGGTCAGATTTATTTATATTAATGTCACAATGGATATAAAAGGAATTCTAATATTTTAATTATGATTCCTCTGTCATGATTCCTTACAAAAAGTTCAGTATTATTTGATTATACTCATAAATTAAATATGAGGAGTTATATTGAGGTTTTTTGGTTTGGGCAAGTCTCCTACTTGATATTGTTCTCCTTTTATATTTTGAGCTAACTCTGCAGAAAGAAAATGCCAGATGCTTATATAGGTCAGAGGCAATGGGTTTAAAGTAGCATTCTTCCTTAAACCAAAGATTCAATTGTTCTATACATAAGGTGATGGCATTGTTCAGTGATTTTCTTGATCTTTTAACCAGGTTTGAGTTTATTATTTATTTATTTATTTATTTAGGAAAAAAAAGTGGCTTGTAATTTTTCCTGAGATACCAGTCAGAGGTTTTCGGTCCATAATAGTCTGCCTCTCCTAATAGATTAACTAAGGGATCAAAGGATTCACCCATTGCCAGATGTACTGAGTGCCAGATGCATATAACTTAGTCAATTGAGAAGGGGGAGAAAAATCCTTTTACCTTTGGAACATGAGCTCATTTCTCAAAAAGCCTCTAATGCTGGATATCTTCCATTTTGTCCTTCCAGGTCACTCTCTACTTTTCTCTACCCCTATTGCCTGAGTGAAGATTGATATCACAGGCAAATATGTTCATGGGAAAGACATGCACAAGGAAAATGGCACAATAGAAAAACATATCTGCCACATGGCCAGAAACATCAGTATCACTTTCACTCTGTCCTCAGTATACTCGTAGGATATATAACCAGTGGGTTATATACAGTCAGAGTTATACAATTTACTTACCCATTCACCAGTTAACAGACAATCTGTTTCCAGTTTGAAACTATTATGAATAATGCTGCCATGAATATACATGTATATTTATTTGTGTGAGTGCATGTTTTTATTTCTGTTGGGTAGATTCCTAGGATGGAATTGTTGGGTTATATAGAAGGTATACATTTAACTTTTTAAGAAATTGACAAACTATTTTTCAAAGTGGTTGTATCATTTAACCTTCCCATCAGCAATGAGTGAGGGTTAAAGTTTTCCCGCATCTCACCAACACTTGGTATTGCCTGTCTTTTAAATGGGTCCCATTCTAGTGTGTAATGTTAACTTTGCTTTTCTTCAACTTTTTATTTTGAAATAACTATAGATTTACACAAAACTAAAAAAAAAAATGTACATAGGGAACTTGTGTAATCTTCACCCAGTTTCTTCCAGTGGTTACATCTTATATAACTAGAGCACAATTTTAAAACCAAGAAATTGACCTTAGAACAATATCATATTATTAATATCACATCTGTAGATTCATGTAGTCACCATCTCAGTCAAGATACAGAATTATTTCCTCACCACAAAGCTCTCCCTTGTGCTATGCTTTTATAGTCACCTCTGATATGGGGGACTTATAATCTAATAGATAGAGCACCTGGATTAATCTGAAAAGTAATCATATTATTTTAAATCTTAGAACACATATACTTATGTGAATAGGGGGTTAAGTTTCTCATATGTGAATAGGGGGTTAAGATTTTCCTAAAGTTTTCTTTTCAAGGCCTGTGCAAAGCAATTGAGGTGACTCAGCTGTGAATTCAGCAAGCAAAACTGATAAACATTGTCAGGTCGACCCAACAGGAGTCAAAACATCATCTCATTGCCTGATGACTAATTACAATAGCTGATGTCTGCGGATCCCTGGGCCTGCACATAGCTGCATTCCTCACCCTGGCTCCTTCCCCTTTATAATCTTGTTCCCTGCACCTTGGCTGGAAGGCAGGATTTGATGCTTGTAAGCGCCTGTCTTCTTGCTTGGCTAACCTCCTCAATAAACGCCCATATGATTCAACCCTGCCTTTGTTATTGGACACAACAGGCAGCTGAGCTCAAGGGAGGTGGGGGTTCCTGCTAACACCTCCAGGCCCTCCCATTCATAATCCTTGGCAACCATTAACCTGTTCTTATTCTTTAAAATTTTGTCATTTTGGGAGAGTTATATAAATAGAATTTAATAGAAATTTCTATAAAAGTAATTTCTAGGCCTGGATGGTTTTATGGAGAATTGTACCAAATGTTTAAAGAAGAATTAATATCTATTTTATACAATCTTTTCCAGAAAATATAAGGAAAGGAAACTCTTTTTTTTAATTAAAAAATATATATTTTATTGATTTTATACAGAGAGGAAGGTAGAGAGATAGAGAGTTAGAAACATCGATGAGAGAGAGTCATCGATCAGCTGCCTCTTGCACACCCCCCACTGGGGATATGCCCGCAACCAAGGTACATGCCTTTGACCGGAATCGAACCCGGGACCTTTCAGTCCCCAAGCCGACGCTCTATCCATTGAGCCAAACCGGTCCCGGCGGAAAGGAAACTCTTATAAACTAATTTTATGAAGCCAGTTATTATCCTAATACCCAAAACAAAATGAGTATAAAGAAAGAAAATTAAAGACCAATATTACTCATAAATATAGATTTAAAAAAGATTAAAACAATATTAAGTAATATAATTTATAAAGAATTACTATCTATCTATCTATCTATCTATCTATCTATCTATCTATCTATCTATCAATCATCTATAAGCCTAAGCAACTGTTACGACCAAAAGACTGGAACAACTGGAACGCTGGTCAACCAGTTGTTATGTGCACTGACCACCAGGGAGCAGGCGCTCAACACAGGAGCTGCCACCTGGTGGTCAGTGCACTCCAACAGCCAACCTCCCATGGTCCCTCCCCATCACAGTCCCTCGCCCCTGCTGGACAGCCCTCCTGATAGATCTCTAGTACTATAATAAAGTGAGATTTATTTTAGGGATGTAAGACTGTTTCAAAACTTGAAAATGATTAAAGTAATTCACCATATTAAAAAGCTGGAGAAAAATCACATGATCATATCAACTGAAGCAGAATAAGCATTTGATAAAAAGTTCAACAGCTAACATCATATTAATGGGTAAAAGACAATATTTTACCTTTAAGATTGGGACTGAGGCAAAGATGTCTGTGCTCACCACTCTTATTTAACACTAGAGGCCTGGTGCATGACATTCGTGATTGGGAGGTCGGGTCCCCTCAGCTTGGCCTGAGCCCTTTAGCAGTCCGGGAGCCCTCAGGGGATGTCTGACTGATGGCTTAGGCCCACTACAGCTGTCAGTAGGACATCCTTAGTGCTGCCTCAGAGGCGGCAGAGGCTCCCATCACCACTGTTGTGCTCGCCAATTGTCAACTCGCCTTGTGGCTGAGTGGTACTCCCCCTGTGGGAGCATACTGACCACCAGGAGGCAGTTGCTGTGTTGAGTGTCTGCCCCCTGGTGGTCAGTGCACATCATAGCAACCAGTTGTTCCACTGTTTGGTCAATTTGCATATTACCCTTTTACTAGAAGTCTTAAGGAGCACTTAAGTATTGATAAGAAAATTAAATAAAAGGCATACATATTGGAAGGGAAGAAATTTGTTGAGGACATGATGGTTTATATAAAAATGCCTAAGAATCTACAAAAAAAAACCAACAAAAAAAAAAAACCTTCACACAACAAGTGAATCAGGAAGATAATAGGATACAGCAATATACAAAATCAGTTGTATTTCCTTAATTTGAGAATATCTTTATTTCTGATTCATTTCTTACAGATATTTTCATTGGATACAGAGTTCTAGGTTAATGTTTGTGTTTTTTTTTCATTGAAAAATGTTATACTTCCTTTGGCCCCCATGATTTCTGATGAAAATGAATCTATTGTTACTTGTTTCTCCCCCAACTCCTTCATGTAAGGTGTCAGTATTTTGCTTTCAAGAGTTTGCCTTTAGTTTTTAGAAGTTTGATTATGATGTATCTTAGAACAGATTTATTTATATTTATCTGTTTGGAACTTACCAGTTTCTTGAATATTTAGGTTTATAACTTTTGCCAAATTTGGGCAATTTCCAATAGTAATTATTTCTTTGAATAATTTTTTTCAGCCCTACCCTTCTTCCCCTTTTCTCTGGATGATGTGAATGTTAGATCTTCTATATTACAGATACCCATGGCTTTGTTCATTTTTAAAAAAATCTATTTTCCTGGAGCAGTGGGGGCTTGCCTAGGGTGGGAATGGCTGGGGGAGGGGGAAGGGTCAATTGGGGGGGAAAAAGAGAGATATGTAAAACTTTAGACAATAAAAAAATCTATTTTCTCTCTGTTGCTCAGATTGGGTAATTAAAAAAAACAAAAACAATGCTTCACAAATTTGCATGTCATCTTTGTGCAGGGGCCATGCTAATCTTCTCTGTATCCTTCCAATTTTAGTATATGTGCTGCCGAAGCAAGCACTCAGATTGGGTAATTTTGATTCTATTTTCAAGTTCATTGATTCTTTCCTCTGACTTCTCCATTCTTTGTTGAGCCCATCCATTGACGATTTTTTTTTTCTTTCAGATTTTGGTTATTGAATCTTTTGGTTGTAAAATTTCTATTTGGTTCTTCTATGTACTTCTCTTATTTTGATGAGATGCACTATATATCCATTTGTTTCAAGCATGTTTATAACTGCTTGTTAAAGCATTTTTGTATGTCAGCTGCTTTAAAATCTTTTTTAGATAATTTCAACATCTGTGTCATTTCAGTATTGTAGTCTTCTCATTCAAGTTGAGATTTCCCTGGTTCTTGATATGATGAGTGATTTTTTTAAAAATTGTATTCTGGACATTTGGGGTATTATGTTATAAGACCCTGGATCTTATTTAGATCTTCTGCTTTAGCAGGCCTCCTCTGATACTCTGCCAATGGGGAAAATGAGCTTTCTAGATAATTATTGCCAGGTGGGTTGTAACTCCATTTGGCCTTTGATTACAACCCAGAGGGGAAGGTACCTTGTTACCAGTATCTCTGACATGTCACCCCACCCACTGACACTCAGGGATAGAGAAGCTTCTTTACTATCAGGTGGGCAAGAAAATCCTGTCTTTCCACTAGTCCTTCATTGATACCACCCTGTCTTGGAAGTAAAAAGGTTCCTCATTGCTGCTCCCCACATGCCTCCACTCTGCCTCCTCTGACACCATCTTAGGGTCAGAGATAACTTTTTAATGTCGAGTAGGAGGGAGGGAGTCCAGGCTCACACACCAATTCCATGGACACCAGGGGAGGAGGTCTTGTTTCCACCAAGTAGGGATAAAAGTCCTAGATCCCCAGTAGGCCTTCTCTGATTATCCTCATAGCAAGCTGTCTCAGAAAAGGGATGCACTAGAATCTCTGAAGTCTTCCTGATCCCTGTGATTGTGAACTTTGTATAGGGGATAAAGTGACGATTTGGATTTGTTTCAGGAAGAGAGATAGTTGTGTATGTGTGAGAGAGCTTTATAAAAGCACAGCCCCTGGCCTGCCTTTGTCTTTAAAAATATATATATATTTTATTGATTTTTTCGGAGAGGAAGAGAGAGGGAGATGAATAGAGAGTTAGAAACATAGATTCAGCTGCCTCCTGCACAGTCCCCACTGGGGATGTGCTTGCAACCAAGGTACATGCCCTTGACGGGAATCGAACCTGGGACCTTTCAGTCAGCAGGTCGATGCTCTATCCTCTGGGCTAACGAGGTTAGGACTGCCTTTGTCTTTTGAAACCTTAGGGAGTTTCACTTGAGTCTTGTGTAAAACTGTAGAGAACATATTTTCAGATTTCTGCACAGTAAGGGCTGTCTGAACAAAGAACATTGAAACCTGGGTTAAAAGATAAGTCTTGGCTATTTACTTGAAGAGCCAAAGACATCTGAAGAAATTTAGACTTATTTCCCTGTGTTTGCATTTTAAAGGGGTACAAAAGAAGTCAGTTGCTTATATTCCAGAGGGCTGTAAATGCCAAGGTTTTTCCCAGGACTGGAGGGGGAAAGATGTGGACTATTTAAACTCCAATATTAATAATTTCAGGGTTTCTCTTTTGCATATAAAACTCCCTTATGTGTAGGATGACATCTGGCTTTCATTGTGTTGCTTGTCGGGTACTGGGCATGGGAACAGGCACAACTATTGCTGTAAGTAATAATAACTGTGATATTATTTACTTTCAGGATAAAATGAACAAATACAGATATACTCACCACAAATGGGAGGATACACTCGTGTTGATTTTGCACCATGTATAAGCTGAAAAGGGACATGCGGCTGGGGCCCATCAAGCTGCAGGCTAGAGAGAAGAAGTTCTGCATAGCCTCACAGAGGTTGGAGCAGATGTCAGCCCAGGATGGTAGAGATATATGCACAATGAGAAGCCTCGGAGGTTGCTGGTAAATCTGCGAGGGAGTGGAGGGCCCTTTACCAGTAGTTCGCCCATGATACATGGCAGTCAGACCAGAGGAGGAACTGTAGCCACCACCTTGATATTCTCTACACCTATAGGGGAGAAAGAGAAATCACTGGCTTTTGTAAAACTGAATTATATGCTCTGTTGAAACAGAAAGTCCAAAAAGAAGTCACTGGGGCCCTAACCGGTTTGGCTCAGTGGATAGTGTCGGCCTGTGGGCTGAAGACCCAGGTTCGCTTCTGGCCAAGGACATGTACCTTGGTTGCGGGCACATCCCCAAGAGGCGGTGTGCAAGAGGCAGCTGATTGATGCTTCTCTCTTATTGATTTTTTTTTTAAATTATATTTTATTGATTTTTTTACAGAGAGGAAGGGAGAGAGATAGAGAGCTAGAAACGTTGATGAGAGAGAAACATCGACTAGCTGCCTCTTACACACCTCCTACTGGGGATGTGCCTGCAACCAAGGTACATGCCCTTGACAGGAATTGAACCCGGGACCTTTCAGTCCGCAGACCGATGCTCTACCACTGAGCCAAACCGGTTTCAGCTCTTATTGATGTTTTAAATTCTCTACCTTTCTCCCTTCCTCTCTGTAAAAAATCAATAAAATTAAAAAAAAAGAGAAGTCACTGGGTACTAACTCAAGCTTTTCTAAGCAGGCTACCCCATCTTTTTTTTTTTTTTTTTTTAAGGTATAATTTCATTTCTGTGCAATGTCCTGAATAGGCAAATCCATAGAGACAGAGAGTAAATTGATGGTCGGGAAGAAGTTAAGGGGAGAGAAATGGAGAATGACTGCTAATGGATAAAGTGTTTCTTTTAGAAGGATGAACATTCTGGAATTATAGAGTGTAATGGATGCCCACACTTGTGAATATGGTAAAAACCACTGATTTATACACCTTAAAATGCTGAGTGTTTTGGAAGGCTATCTCATCTTAATAGCTCCTAAGGGATCTAGATATTTGCCTGTAATGTAAGGCTGAGAATACTTAGAGATTTTGAGTAGTACTAATGAAAAAGTTACACAAAAGTCAAACTTCAGTCTCAGAATAAGCCATATCCCCTCATAAACTTTCTTTTTAAAAAAATTCTTTAGAGGATCCAAGATGGCTGCACAGGTAAACACCTAACCGCAGCTGCACACAACAATTTCAGTAAAATACAACTAAAATATAAAATGGACATTGCCCAGAGCTACAGGAAAGTCAACTGACTGGAAATTCTACAATGAGAAGCAAGGAGAAAACCAAAAGAAAGAGCGGAGGGGCTGTAAAAGCCTAAGGTATGGAGACACGCGGCAAGCGCGGAGAGGACAGAGCCAGAGAGGAGGGGGAGGCTGAGTGCCTGGGTGGCGTTCCCAAGCGGGAAGGAGATAAAAGCTCCGGACTGTGCTGAACTCCAGACCCGACAGCGCTGAACCTCAGTTCTAGGCCAGACCCTGGGGAACCCAGGCTCAAACAGAGGGAGCTGGGTTGTAAGGCGGAAACCCGGGGAACGGCGAAAGGCAGAGCCCTGGAGGCGCGCACATTGCGCGCAGAGGACGGACTGTTGACTCTGCTGCCAGATTGCCCTAGCAGGAAGGAGACAGGGGCTCCAGACTGCTCTGAACGCCACCTCCAATCCCACTTCCAACTGAACTGAACCCCAGTTCTGGGCCCATTGGGGGAGAGACTAGACTGTTTGGTAGCAGGCGAAACTCGATGGCCCCTCACTTTCAGAGGTGCTTGCAGCGAGTACCGAAGGACCCTGAGAAACACTGAGACTCAGGAGCCGCATAGGGCATGGCTGACGGAAGCCAAGGCTGTAGGCTCCACCCTGAAACTCCACCCCATCAGGGAAGCTGCGAAAATGCCGAGACAAGGAAATAGATCACAAACGAAAGAAATGGAGGACAAAAAGCGACTGGATATAGAATTCAAAACCACACTTATAAGGTTGTTCAAGAATCTCCTAGAAAAGGCTGATAAAATAAACGAGACCTATGAGGATATGAAAAGGGATCAACAAGAAATAATAAGGGATCAACAAGAAATAAAGAATACATTGTCTGAAATAAAAAATACTATACAGAATCCTAAAAACAGAAGGGAAGATTGCAAGAATCAAGTCAAAGATTTGAAACATAAAGAGCCAGAAGACACTCCTCCGCAGAAGCAAGAAAGCAAGAGAATCCAGAAAGTTGAAGATAATGTAAGAAAACTCTGGGACAACTTCAAGCGAACCAATATCAGAATTATGGGGGTCCCAGAAGATGAGAGAGAGCAAGATATCGAAAACATACTGAAAGAAATAGTGACAGAAAACTTCTCCCACCTGGTGAAAGAATTAGACTTATAAGTCCAGGAAGCGCACAGAACTCCAAACAAAAGGAATCCAAAGAAGACCACACCAAGACAAATCATAATTAAAATTCCAAGAGCAAAAGACAAAGAGAGAATATTTAAAAACCCAAATACTCTATAACTATTTAAGAAACTTAATTGATAGTCAAATATCTTCCCACAAAGTAAATGACAAGGAAGATGATTCCATTGATGAGTTCCATCAAACTCTCAAAGACTAAGAATTTCGATCTCAATGTATTTCAGAGAATAGGAGAGGGAACATTGCTCAATTAATTTTGCTAGGTCAGAGTACTATAAGAAAACAATTATAGGACAATCTCATCCATGAACTTAGATGTAAAAATTTTAAACAAAATATAAGCAAATAGAAAACAATGACACATAAAAAGAATTATGAAAGAAATAAAACTCATTGCTTGCAGATGCTATGGTTATGTATATAGAAAATATAAAATAATTTAGTTTTATCATTTTCTTCAAAAGGTCTCACATTTTATTAAATTTTATTCTTAGAGATTTGCCATTTTAATGTTAATTACATAATATCTTTTTAGCCGAAACTGGTTTGGCTCAATGGATAGAGCGTCGGCTTGGGGACTGAAGGGTCCCGGGTTTGATTCCAGTCAAGGGCATATACCTTGGTTGCGGGCATATCCCCAGTAGGGGGTGTGCAAGAGGCAGCTGATCGATGACTCTCTCTCACCGATGTTTCTAATTCTCTATCTCCCTTCCCTCTGTTCAAAATCAATAAAATAAATAAATAAATAAAATCTTTTAAAATTGTTGCTAATGCATAGAAATATAATTAATTTCTATATATTGATTTTTAAAATTTAACAACTTTGCTGTACTTTCTTACTAATTTTAATAATTTATCCATAGATCCTTTTGGATATTTTTGTTCACAATCAAATATGGTGAATAATTACATACATAAGGTACATGAACAAAATCAGATCATAGCAGCATAAAGAGTATCCATAAGAGTCTTGTTCACAATTAGCCCACACTGCAAACAAGACATATGCTAATCAATGCTAGGAAGGATAAATTATGGTATAGTTACACATATAGAAATGATAAGTGATATAATACAGAAAGTGAGAGTTGAGTCAAACATAAATGTAGTTATTTGTAGAAGAGCTGAGAATATTGACAACGACATCATTTGATGACTCTATATCAGTGGTTCTCAACCTTTCTAATGCCACAACCCTTTAAACAGTTCCTTATGTTGTGGTGACCCCCAACCATGAAATTATTTTCATTACTACTTCATAACTGTAATTTTGCTACTGTTAATGGCTGTAAATATCTGTGTTTTCCGATGGTCTTAGACTCAAGACCCACAGGTTGAGAACCGCTAGCAGGGTCGCCTAAGACCATTAGAAAACACAGATATTTACATTATGATTCATAACAGTAGCAAAATGTTTGAGGCAGCAGATCAATGTTTCTCTCTCATTGATGTTTTTATCTTTCTATCCCTGTCCCTTCCTTTCTAAACAAACAAACAATTTTTTTAAAAAAAAGATCGCTTTGTCAATTGCAGCTTGCACAGTCATTTTTAGATCCCGCACTGTGTGTAATTCCAAGACTGGACTTTAATGAGGTAAGAGGTCGTTCTCTTCCCTATATCCTCAAACATGATTAATTAATGCATTTGATGTGTCTGACTACTAAGCAGCATCTGACTACATCTGACCTTGTACTATATTCTCCACTTTTGCCAAGAACACCCACTTACTGGTGTCCCTAAAACCTGGTTAAACCTGGAACTGAGCCTCCAATCACCAGAAGCCAACAAGTTACTCCCTTACTAAAAACCGTTCAATGGTTTCCAATTATACTTGGGACAAAATCCAAAATCCTTACTCTGGCTCCAAAATTCTGTATGCATCTGTATGCGAGCTGGCCGAAGCCATGTCATCCCTTAACCAACCCCCTTCTAGCCTACTCCACCCTGGGGTGCCTTTCACATCCACAAATTGTGGGCCTCTCACTGTGGTTCCCACTGTCTGAGCATTCCCCTCCTTAATCCCCTCATCCTTTAAATAACAGACTTTATGTCTTAATAGGTTAAGGCCTCCCATAAAAGCTTTTATAGCCTTTAGGACAATTTATGTGTGCCTAATGATTTTCAGTGTTTCTCCCTCCCTCAACGCTCAATTAAAAATTTCGTGGATCTTAAGCACTCTTAAAATTTATTTTTTAAAAATATCCTTATTGATTTTAAAGAGGAAGAGAGAGAAACAGCCATGATGAGCGAGAATCATTGAACGCTGCCTCCTGCATGCCCCACACTGGGATGGAGCCCACAACACAACTGGGGCATGTGCCCTGACCGGGAATCCAACCGTGATCTCCTGGTTCATAGGTCAAAGCTCAAACACTGAGCCATGCGGGAAGGGCAATCCTGAGCACTTTTGTCTCCCCAGACTGTCACCTCGTTTAAAAAACCCAAAACAATTAATGAATAGATTTTTTTTGTGGGCCCTAGAAATTTCACATTTCTTTCTGACGTAAGAAAAAAAAAATCAAAACATTTTCTTTGATTCTTTCATGTGTTTTTTCTTTTCTGACTTTACAAGAAGTTAGAACATTTTTGTGGGTCACATGGGTGGCCCAGTCCCCAGGCTTGGAGAGCCCTCCCGGGAGACAAGGCGTCTGCCCGCCCGTCCTCTGGTCAGAACGCCCCCCCCCCCCCCTCCCCGGGCTGAGGTGAGACCCTCTGGGCGTCCCTCTGGCCTCAGGCCCGAGCTGCGAACACCTCCTGGGGGAGGGCCCGAGCTGGCCGGAGCCCAACCTTGGAGGTGGCTTCTTTCGTTTCCCTCCTGTTTCCTCCCTCGGGTCTCCCTTAGCCCTCCTCCTGCCCGGAGGTGTGGCCCCGCGCGCCTGCGCGGAGGAAGGCGCCCCCCTCAGGCCGGGGGCTCGCCCCGGGAGTGGCCTCCGGGTCCACCTCAGGCTGCACCCCAGGACCTCGGTCTCCAAGGCCGCAGGGTGGGGTTGGGGGTGAGGTGTGTGTGGTGTGTGGTGTGTGTGTGTGTGTGTGTGTGTGTGTGTGTGTGTGTGTGTAAACCATTCTTTGGCCCTTGTCAGAGTTTTGGATTTCTGTGGAGAATAGTTACACCTGACACTTCCTGTCAGCTACCCCCGTAGAACGTTCCAGTTGGTACTTCCACTGTGCTCTTGGCTCTCACCTTTCTCTTCTACATCACTCACTCGCTCACTCACTCACTGAGTCAGTCACTCTTTTATTCAGTAAATATTTGTTGAGGGCCTACTATGTGCCAGGCCCAGTGGACACACAAACAACGGTCCCTGCCCTCATGGGAGGTAGAGTGTAGTCTTCCCTTCGGAAGCTCTCGGAAGTCTTTCCAGACCTCCACAGTTCCATGCGGCTCTGCCCCTCTCCCCATTCCCATTTTCATTTCCTTGCTGTTGATTCCTATAGTCCCCTTGACAAAATCCAGTTGGGGTAGGGGTGCCCTGGTGCCATCAGTGGGTTGGTTACTCTGGGTCTTCAACTCTACCTGGTTAGACGGGAACTTCCGTCTCTGCTCAGCCCTCACGCAGGCGAGGACTCCCGAAGCCCACCAGCAGGAAGAACTCCCACCTACACCTGGGTCTAGCCCCGCCCCCACCAGGGTGGGGCATCTCGGCTCAGCCTGCGCTCCACTCAACCCTGATTGGCTGGAGGAGAAAAGCAGCCCTGCCATTGGTCCCTTTCTGAAGGGGCGGGGCGGGGGGGGTGCGTCCGGTCTGCCCGCCGTAGGCCGAACCTGGCCGAGGAGAGACGAGTGGGACCGAGGCCCGCGGCGCGGCGGCCCCGAGCGGACACGGTAGGGTGCGCCCCACCCGGCGGCCAGGCGGAGCCAAAGATGCCGGCCTCGGCCGCGCGGCCCCGCCCGGGCCCCGGGCCGCCTCCCGGCGCGCATTTCCCGCTGATGCTGTTGGCGGTGCTGAGCGGCCCGGTGTCCGGCCGCGTTCCGCGCTCGGTGCCCAGGACCTCGCTTCCCATCTCCGGTAAGGCGCGGGCGTCCCAGCCCTCCGCCCGCTGCACCGCTCCCAGGCGCCGCCCGCGGGTGCCCACACCCTACACCCTCCTGCTCTCCTGTGCTCCTGACCCGGGCAGCCGCCTCCTGGGCTCCTCCGCGCCGGCCATCCCCGCCCGGGATCGGGCGGGACTCCCACGCGGTGCTGCTGCTCCATCGCATTCCGGGCCGGGGCCTCGCGCCTCGGCCCCCATGACACGCCCAGGCGGCTCCCGCGGCCCCTTGTCCGCGGAGCCGCGGAGAGTTTAGTCTGTCTCGGTGCACACACGGGCACTGAGGCCCAGGGAGGGTTTGGGAATTGCCGGAGGTCATCTATTTCGAAGTTGTCTCTATCCTTTATTATCCTCCTTCCAGACATGCACCTGTGTCGGTCACGCCAGTTTGGTACCCAATCCTGGCTTCCAAACCCAGAGATCTTTCATTCTGTCTCATCCGCCCATTCTTTTGATGGCCAGCCCAGCATTTCCATCTGCTCACTTCTCAAATTCATTTTATCCCCCACCCCCTTTTGTCCTGCCACAGCCCTAATATTCCCTAACCCTCTTCCCAGTCCTCTTACATCTCGGACACCAGCTCCCATTCTCCCCCATAATCCGATCTATCATAACCCTAATTTCCTAACGTTGCCTGCTCCCCCTACCCGTTCCCTCTATTGGATGCTGGGAAACCACTCAGTGAGTTGACTTCACATTCTGTTTAAATGATTTTTAAAGTCTTCAGAAAGAAAAGAGGAGGAGGGAGATATGGCCCTTTCAAAAAGCTGCGCAAGAAGCCAGGGGATGCCACTAGGTTAAAAGTGGCCATTGGAGTGATTCTTAAGGCTTTCTGCGGAGGTGGGCATGAGTGTGGCTGTGGATCTTGTCTCAGTGGGCACTGAGTGTTAGCGCTTTGGGCAGACAGAACCAGTGAAGCTGAGAGTACAACTTGTTGGTTGGCAAAAACTCTCAACTAGTAGTTGATATTAACTTAGTCTAAACTTCAGACCATTGACATAGAGGACGTTTTGAATCCAGAGGACAAATGATTGGAGTTTGGGCTTTTGGATTGTGCTGGAGCAATAGCCACTATGTAGAGGTGTGATTATCAGGCTGGGTTGATGTCCAGGGATCCAGAGAGGTCTAATAGCAAGGTGAAGCGGAGCTGGGGATACAAAAGGAGGTTGAGGGAACCAGGGCTTATTCTAAGCACGAGAGAGCCAGCACAGTCATGAATATGCTTGTAGGAAGATGGGTGGGGCCCCATACATCAGCACATCTAGGAATGAATGGCTGCTGGCCATTCCATCAGTCTTGAGGGTAGAATAGAATTGTATTGGTGCTGGAATAGGATCCCCAGAGCCAGACATTGAGCTAAGAAGGCATGCTAACTTATTTGTTATAATCTTTAAAATAAATAAGAGGATATTTTTTTCCCATTGCCTTTTTTTTTTCTTCTTCAGAGAAAGAGGAAGGTAGGGAGGGGGAGAGAGCAAGAGGGAGAGCGACATCGATGTGAGAGTGAGATAAACAGATAAGAATTTTGAATGCTGAATTGAGATTTAGATTTGGTCAAAACAGAGCTCATACTTAAGGAAGGAAGAAAAGAACGATTTATACTGTGTCAGATGCTCCCACATATTATTTCATTTAATTCTCTCAATGACGCTGGATGGTGGTATTTACAGACAGGAAAGTGATGCTCAAAGAGGGCAAGTAACTTACTCAGGATCATACAGCTGGTAAGTGAAAGAGCCAGATTTAACCTTGGGCTGATCCATTTCCAAAGCTTATACTCTTGCCTGCTACACTCTATACCTCTTTGCTTTTGGGGTAGAATGGAGGTGGGAGGAGATCAAGGGTTGTGGGAGAGAGAGAAGGTAGTCTCCTAATATGTCAATGAAAAGAGAGTAGCATTTCCCTTCTAAGTAAAAAGAAGTTATTATTAAATAGTTTTTTTTAAAAAAAGGGAAATTTAGAGATTTGAAACATTTATAATTATTTTCAAATTGTGTGTCATGTAGCTATGAATAGATTTTACAGACTTAATATTTGTTATTTTGTTATTAAAATAATGTTATTTTAATAAAGTGTCCTTTTTAAAAATATATATATATAATATTTTATTGATTTTTTTACAGAGAGGAAGGGAGAGGGATAGAGAGTTAGAAACATCGATGAGAGAGAAACATCAATCAGCTGCCTCCTGCACACCCCTACTGGGGATATGTCCGCAACCAAGGTACATGCCCTTGACCAGAATTGAACCAGGGACCTTTCAATCTGCATGCTGATGCTCTATCCACTGAGCCAAACTGGTTTCAGCTAAAGTGTTCTATTTTTATAGAAAAAGTATACTTGACTGCACTGTGTGCTAAATATTCTGGCCTCATCAGTTATTTATTTCTGGGAAAGTTACATGGCCTGTCAGGCTCTGTCTTTCTTCCCTGATGGCTGATAAATAAATGGAAGAAAGCAAAAATTGTCTTTTTTGGCCTTGTGGACCTAACCCTTAGGAAGCGATGGCTGATACCACTCTTTCCTCTCCTTCTGCCAGAAGCTGACACTTACCTTACCCGGTTCACCGTCCCTCAGACATACAATTACTCTGTTCTCCTTGTGGATCCTGCTGCCCATACACTTTATGTCGGCGCCCGGGACACCATCTTCGCTTTATCTCTGCCCTTCTCAGGGGAGAGGCCTCGAAGGGTGAGAGACCCCAGAGCATGTGATTAGATCCATGGCTTTATGGGAGGTCAGGGAGGGGTGTTGTGGTTGGAGGTGAAATGTTAGTGAAAATGAATAGGGGAGGCCATCTAGTACATTATGTCAGCTGAGGGTGTTTGTGGGGGTCACGGTGATGAGGGAGGTTGTGAAGGAGGTTCATGATGAGGGGAGGAGGCTACAGTGACCAGGTTTTAGGTGATAGTGGGCAGAGGAATCATTAGAATCACATTAATCTAGGACAATAGCTTTCAAACTTTAAAAAAAACAAACATTTTATTGATATTTTACAGAGAGGAAGAGAGAGAGACAGAGAGCTAGAAACATTGATGAGAGAGAATCATCGATCAGCTGCCTCTTGCACACCCCCTGCCGGGGATGGGCCCGCAACCAAGGTACATGCCCTTGACTGGAATCGAACCCGGGACCTTTCAGTCCGCAGACCGACGCTCTACCACTGAGCCAAACCGGTTTCAACGCTTTCAAACTTTTTTGATCACTCCTCAATAAGAAATATATGGTATATTTTGACTCCGTACACAAAGTGTGTACTGAAAGAAACTTTCTTGAACCAATTTCTACTCTCCTGTGTGAGCTACATCCTGAAATATTTTGTTAAAAGTAATGTTGGCTGTGATTTCATAATTGATTTTATTACTCAATTAAAAACAGTGCTCTAGGGGTGAGATGTGTCTCTGAAGTTCCCAAATTGATGGTGGTTGTGGAACTGTGTTATCTACCCTGACTTGGAGGAGTTGGGGGAGAGTCAAGGGAAAATGGTTGTTTCTCCTCTCTCAGATTGACTGGATGGTGCCTGAGGCCCACAGACAGAACTGTAGGAAGAAAGGCAAGAAGGAGGTAGGTGTAAATCTGGGCCCTGTCCTGAGTGTCAATTGAAATGGCCCAGCCCTGACTCTGTCAGTCCCCCGCAGTGCTACCATCCCAATGGGCCCAGGCAGGGACTCTAACACCATATCATCACCCATCATTTCTGGTCCCAGAGCTGCATCTAACTGCCTGACACTACCCTACCTTTCCTTGTACCTGCTGCTTCTGATTCTCTCTAACCATCTCTGACCTCCAGGACGAATGTCACAATTTTGTCCAGATTCTCGCCATTGCCAATGCCTCTCACCTCCTCACTTGTGGCACCTTCGCTTTTGATCCGAAGTGCGGGGTTATTGTGAGTGACAGGGGTGGGAGGATGGGAAGGGTTTTCTGTGAGTGACCGTGATGGGGGGCATGTTTAAGGCAACCCTTGTGCATGATAAGCATTGGGGGTGAGGGATGTCCTCACCGGGCGGAGCCTTTGGCACTGGAGGAGGTACGAAAGGGTGGGGAGGGAGGTTGATAGCAGAAGGTAAGTTATACAAAGTCTAAAGGGAGATGTAGTGGGACAGTGAAGGAAGTTAGGGATGCTAGCAGAACTGGGGAGAGGAGAATTCCAGGAGAGACTTCAGAACTTGTAACTCATGTTTCCCTTGTCCTATGTATGCTTTGTCCAGGCAGCCTGGGCCCATTTTTTTTCTCCTGAGTCCATTTCTTAATCAGCACTGTCCATGCCTGTTTCTTCCTCCCTGGCATGTAACTCTCACCACCTTCTCCCATAGCCACTGCCAATGTCACTGAATGTGAAGCTCTTCTCCTGAGCTTCGGAGGTCACTGCCCACTAATTAGCACCTGCTGGCACCATACTCTGGCTTGATCTTGCCTTCAAGGTGGCTGCTCTGTCAACTATGTTTTCTTCCAGGTCCTGTCCTTTGCTGCTGAAGCCCTGGCATTTCCACCCCCACCCCCTGGCAGGCTGGGGACATATTTACCCTTAATCACATCTAGGCTGGTCTTGGTAACAAAAGTCCCTGGGACTGTAATATCTCAGGAAGGGTCTCGATGGTTTTGAATCCTCATCCTTTCCCATCAGTTATCCAGTAGTCAGTCATTGGTCCTCTGTAGCACACCTTTGTGACAAGGCCCTAGCATGAGTTGAAAGCTTCACACATCCTTTGCATCCGGTGACTTCCTTTCCTACTCCATGAAGCAATAGGAGGGAGTGCAATGACTCCTTTTCCTGACCTTGATCTTTAACTTTAGTCTTGACTTCACCCTTCTGCAATCTTCAGTAATCCTTGCCACCTGCATCTAATCAGTGTGTATCTCCAAACCTCTCTCTGTTAAAGGCCATCCTCATATCCCGGGCTTAGAATGCTATAATTGCATATACTCGATATATAGCCGGTCCCTGTGAGCTGCCCTTGGGCTTAGGCCTAGTCCTTTTCATAATGCAAGTGATAGGCTCCCTGCTGCGTGTGGCTAGCTCCCTCATCTTGTCATCCTGGGAAGGTTTCCAAGGGCAGGTGGTATTGAAAATTTCTATATTTTCTCAGGTAATATTGAGTCTCTGGTTTTCCTATAGTCCTCACAAAGCTCACAAAGTAGCAGTAGAATTGTCATTGCCAAATTTGTCCTTTTTTAGTCTGTGCAAGCTCAGGGAGCCTATGGGTATGAATATCAACCATGGCTTATAGAAAATAGACTTACTCCCAGCTAATCTCCCAGGTCTTCTATTCTTCCTTGGCTCTCTGAGGTGGGACCCTAATGGTGGTTAGGTTTCCAGACAGAAAATGCTCTGGACATATCTGTCAGGATTGGCGTGACTTGGACCCCTGTCCACTCTCAAGGAGCACCAGCTTCCACAGCAAAATCAGGGGTCTGTGTTCTGCATCCCCACAACTTTAGCTCTTTTTCTGTACCTTCTATATAGCAGGCTCATGAAATGAAGGACTGTCATTTTGTCAAGGCTGTTTTTAGGAGAATATAGGGCACAGAAAGATCAGCTGTGTTAACCCTTCAAGCCACATACCAAGATTGCCCTCCAGACTTTCTGGATGCTTTCTCTGCCTTTATCTGCCTGTCTTATCCTATCTGCCCATGCTCATCTGCTTGAGCAAGTTCTTGCCGTATCCTGAGTTCTGAGACTCTCATGTTCCAGTCTGATGACTTTGAGACTATTCATAACTGTTTTCTGAGAGCTTTGGCTAGCTAGCAGCTCCTGACACAACAGCTTGCTCAGAGAAATGAAGGTTCTTACAAAAAGGAAGTTCAGGCATTGGACCTATCAGTTCCAAGAACATGGAGTGCTGCCCTTCAGTGATAGCTCATTAGCTTGTGGAGGTCAATGTTTTAATTTGTTTTGTTGAGGGAACTTCAGCATATAACAGAGAAAAATGTTAGACTTACATTACAACAAGACTTTACATTCAGTTGAGTATCTGCTTTATCCCAGACTTGGCACTGGGTATTTTACATTCATGATTGAATTTAATTCTCATCACCCCATTATAATATTTAGGTATTATTTCTTTTCATTTTACAGGCAGTGAAATATAAGTTCAGATAAGTTAGGTACCATGTCTAATATTATATACACTGAGTGGCCAGATTATTATGATCTCTGAATGCATAATAATGTGCTCACTCAGTGTATATGTGTGTGTGTGTAAATATATATATATATATATGGATATATATAGAGGCCCAATGCATGAATTCGTGCATGGGTGGGCCAGCCAGCCTGCTGGTCGAACTCCTGGTTGAGGGGATAATTTACATATTAGCCTTTTATTATATAGGATATACACTGAGTCGCCAGATTATTATGCATTCAGAGATCATAATAATCTGGCCACTCAGGGTATATCTGCATTGCAGCTCCAACTACCATCCAGGTTATTAAGCTCCAGCAACACCATCTGTCCACAGTAGTTTGTGAGCCAGAGATATCCTGGCACGTCCATGCCATAACTTTGATTCCAAATCAGCCACAGTTAACATTTTCTGTTAGTCCTAGGTTGAAATCATCTCTGACTTCTATTTTTGGTTATCTTGAAGCCTCTCTTAGTGTATGATGCCTAGCTAAGGTAACTTCTGGCTGGCTCTTACACCTTTCGCCCACACCCAGGTCATTCCTCCTGGAGTCTCTGGATGAGGAAGGCATTACATTAGCAAATCCTCAAATTCTGACTGAGCGTCAGGCCTTCATGACTTTGCAGATTCTCGTCCCCCTTCTCTGTATCCTTGGCTCTGGTGCTATCTTTTATCCTTGGGGTGGGAGTAGGGAAAGGATGGCCCTTCTCTTTAGACGCCTGGGCTTCAGATGGTCCTGTATCAGTCTCTACTTTTCTTTATCCTTCCTAAGGGCTTCAGACTTCAGCCTGCTCTGCTCTTGTCCTCCTTGTCCTGTAGCACATTCTCCAGCCAGTTGCAAACCCTACAGTACAGCATTTCAGAGGAAAGATCTGCCTTTCAGCCTCTCCGTGCCATCTAGGGCCATCATAGGTGCTCCTTCATGTGGTAGTTGGGTGTTAGGGGAATTGAAGGAAGAAGAATAAACTGATGAAAAGGGATGGCAGAGATGGGAAATGCAGGAATGGGCAGGGAATCAGGAGTAACACAATGGGGATATGGGGATGGTAGCAGAAGAGTGGGAATTGGGCTTTTCCTTCATCTGAACATCTTTGTGATTTTCATCATGAACCCTATGACCCCTAAACCAATTGCCCCCTTCTGGTCTGTAGGCCGTGTCCAGTTTCCAGCAGGTTGAAAGAATTGAGAGTGGCCGGGGGAAATGTCCTTTTGAGCCAGCTCAGCGGTCAGCAGCTGTAATGGCTGGTGAGTGGGAGAGATAAGAACCTGTGACTTCTTGCTATAATTGCTTCCTTCCCCACCCTTGCTGTTGAAATTTGTGTCCTTTTCCTAGGAATGTCTATTATTCCCATGTCTCTTTCTAGCCTTCCCTATTCTTCCCAGCGTGCCTGTGTCCCGCTTTTCTCCAGAGTACTATTTCCCTGGGTTCTCCCTAGAGAATGTGTTCTCTGCACCTCTAATGTGAGTGCTTCCTCTGCTGACCTCATTCCCACCCCCCTCATTTTTTGTTTTTTGTTTTTTTTTTGTTCATAAGAGGACTCTGCTACAATGCATATTGTAATACACTTGGAAAAAGTATAAAGAACATATGAAGTCTTCTAGAACAGCACGAAAGAACTTTGTGTGATGATAGGAATGCTCTGTATCTTTGCAGTCCAAAAGTAGCCACTAGCTACCTGTGGCTTTTGAGCTCTTGAGATATGATTAGTTCGACTAAAGGAAAGGGTTTTTGGTTGTATCTAATTTCAGTTTAAATGTAAGTAGTCACATGGGTATAGTGGCTACTATATTAGCAAAGGTCTAGAGTATCTACTCAGAAAACCACCGTTAATATTTTAGGATACGTCCTTTTAGCCTATTGTAATGTGTATGCAAGCACATATTTTACTGGCCAGTCCTTTGTAGCTCAGAGGAGTCAGTAATGACTATTCAATAAGTTCCTGCTGTTACTTCCTTTGAACAAGCCATATACAGTTGCTCAAGTGTTGAGTGGTTCTTTCACAGTTTATGTATAAATCTTTCCTGGAGAGTGACTGCTTAATTCTCGGTAGCCATAAAGTGAATTGTTTGTGTCCCACACAGCCTGTATTTTAGATTAGAGTACTCCACATGCACCCTCAAAATTAAGTGAGGATCTAGCCATTTTCTCATGATAGTGTAAAACAAGGAAAGTTAGTAGAAATTTTATGTGTGTGTGTATATTATAAAACTTTTAAATGTCATGCTACATAGGTATAATTTTAAATTTTGTTATGTAACTATATCATAGGCATATCTGTGTAATTTAATAATTCTTTATAAAGAGAATTTTTAATGACATCATGCTATTACTCAACCTGTAAGCATACAGTAATTTAATTAAGCAACTCTAAATAATTTCTATAAATTAATTTTATTTAGTTTAAGTTTTTGCTATTATCCATTAACACTGTAATGAACATTTTGGTGTATAAATATTATATTTTAGATTGTCTCCTTAAGATTTCTGGAAAGAGATTACTATATCAAAGGGTGTGAGCATTTTATGGCTCATTATCTGTTGCTAATTGGGTTTTTAGAAAGAATGTACCAATTTACACCCTAAAACAGCAGTGAGAGTGCTTTTTTTCTCACATAAATTTCACCAAAATATATTGTTGTCACTTTAAAAGATCTCCGAGTCCTGATTGATATGGCTCAGTTGGTTGGGTGTCATCCTGTGCACCAGGAGGTTATGGATGGGATTTCTGGTCAAGGGCACCTGCCTTGGTTGCAGGCTTGATACCCGGTGGGGTTGTGCTGGAGGCAATCAATGTGCTCTCACATGGATTTTTTTTCTCTCTTTCCCTGTCTCTCTCTCTCAAAAGCAATAAACTAGTCACAAAAAAAAAAAAAAAAAAAAAAAAAAAAAAAAAAAGAGAAAGGAAAAAAAGATTGTTGAGCCTAAAAATAGTACCTTGTTTTAATTTGTATTTCTTTGAATATTAGTGAAGTTGAAAATTTTTCATTTTTAGTACTATTTTTATTTCTTCTCTCATAAATCCTCTGCTTACTTTCTTGGGTCAATTACCAGATAGGAAATTAAGGTCCCAATCTACATATTTTCCATTCTAATTACATTTTTAAATCAAAATCCTTCTTCAGTGAGAGAGCAGATAAAAACTTTTTTCTTAAAAATTTCCCTCAAACACTTAACATTTTGATTTTTTAAAAACTTCTTTTGATGAATGACATGAGATGAGACCTAAATTAATTTTTCCCAACTAGCTAATCAGTTGACTCATTCATCATACTGTTTTTTCTTTCTTCACTGACTTTAGCTGTGAACTTTGTTATAAAATTGATTTTATCTATACTTTTGTATAATATTTTATGAAAAAAATTGGAATGAAAGATCTAACAATAAATTTTTTCTTATATAGGATTTCATAGGAAAAGTCATAAAAGCTATACAAATTAAATACATTTTAGTCAGATAATTAAGGACTTACTTTTTCTGAAAAGAAATAACAAATATTTTGAAAGTGAACAAAAGAAATAACATAAATATTTTGAAAATGAACAAAAGAAATTACATAAATATTTTGAAAGTGAACAAAATAAATACAATATTTGGGTTGTCATTTCTATCATTCATCTATAGATGATATTGATGAGACCTACCTTTTTTATATTCAAACATATTTGAATGAAATAGTTTAATCGATGGTTTATTTTTCTTGACTTTTTATCAAGCATGTGTGGCAAAATTCTGAGTCAGTCATTTTGAACATTAAGAAAGATAGTGATTGAATATCACTCTTTTTTAAAAAAATTATTTTATTGTTGAGAGTATTATAGATAAATCCCATTTGTGAATTTCTTAAAAAAAAAAGATTTTAAATTGATATTTAGAGAGAAAGAAAGGGAGAGGGAGAGAAAAATCAACGTGAGAGCAAAACATCAATCAGCTGCTGGAATTAAGCCTGTAACCCTGGGCATGTGTTCTGACTGGGAATCAGAGACCACTTGGGCTGGTGCTCAGTCAACTGAGCTACACCAGCCAGGGCTGTGAATGTGTCTTGATTCTACATAATTGCTTGTCAACAACATGAGTCTCAATTGCAACAATCTAAGATAATCATTTAACATTCTTTTTTTTCAAGCAGTAAACTTTAAGTACATTCAATCTTCTGCTTGTAATTTCTCAGTGTTCCAGTCAGCAAGTGGATTTGCATTAGCATGTGGTTCAAGGGCACAGATTTCATAAAGATCATTGCATGATAAAGAAAAATTTCAAAAAGGAGTAAGATTTTCAAAAAGTTTTTTTTCTAAATAATGTCTTTTTTCCCCCCTTCAGATAATGATGTTGGCTTTCATTTGATAATTGATGGAACTAATCAGAAATCACTTTCTATCAGTTTAGAATGACTAAGTTTAGACAGTTAACATATAACCTCAATGTCTCTTTCTGTCTCAGATCCATGTCATAGTCAATACCAATATAAAATTTTCTCTCAAGTTCTAAACTTTATCTAAGTAGGTGCCAGTATTTAGTTGGAGCTTTCAGCGTTGATCTATTATGCCCTGCTATCTTCTGTTTTGAAAACAGTGATATGGAAATAGTGCCAAAATTAGGTAGGAACTAGAACCAAATTTCCTAGTTACGAGATATAAAAATGTCCTTGAAGATAATAGAGGTATTTTGAAATAAAAAGTTTTAGTAATGAAAATATTATTAGACTATAATATTTATTAATATAAGAAAACAACATTTTAAATTATAAAAATTACAATGTGCATTGTAGAAAGTTGAGGAAATGTAGAAATGTTAAAGAATAAAGTGAAAGGTTTATTTGCAATTCAATCATTGTCAGGTAACTACTATTATTTTAGACTACTTTTTTTGTGTCTGTCTGTGTGTGTATTTATAATAAATTGGAATTATTATGCATATTTCACTTAGTATTGTATACTAAACATTTTCTTGTTATAGAAATTAATTATTCAAAATATGATTTCTAGAGACTACATAAGATTTATTTCATCATATAGATATTGCATAGCACAAATTAATTATTCCTATAAAATTATTCATTTAGGTTTAAAAACTATTGTTTTTATGAATAATACTGTAGAAGAAATCTTTTCTTTTAAGTATATTTTATTGATTTTTTTACAGAGAGGAAGGGAGAAGGATAGTTAGAAACATCGATGAGAGAGAAACATTGACCAGCTGCCTCCTGCACACTCCCCACTGGGGATGTACCCGAAACCAAGGTACATGCCCTTGACTGGAATTGAACCTGGGACCCTTCAGTCTGCAGGCTGATGCTCTATCCACTGAGCCAAACTCGTTAGGGTGAAGAAATCTTTTTATATAAATTTTTCACATAAATGTCATTAATTGCATGTGAGTAAATCCAAAAAGTAGACTTGCATGGCCAAAGGGTGTAAAGATTTTTATGGTGCTTGGTGGATTTATCTAAATTCCTTTCCATTTAGTCCAACCAACAGTGATAAGAGGGCTTGTCTCACTGCATCCTTGTCAGTCCCAAATAATATACATAATAAAGCAAATAACTGACTTCCTCCAAAGACTAATTTGATGTATTTTTTACTTGCATCTCTATTAGTGAGATTGAACAACTTTTCATTTGTTTATTGGTACTTGTATTTCTTTTGGGAAAAGCCTTCAAAATCATGTCCTCAAATATGACATTTATCTGTACTGCAGTTAGATAAAATTAACAAAATTATCTCAGTGTCTCTATTTGCACTGTTCAGACTTGGAAATATTTTAAAATATTTTGACAGTAACATTCACATTAGCCTAAAACATCAGCAGTTCCATCCCAATCTCCTTTGAAGAGTTTTTGTCTTTTGCTCATCAGTGTTGGGACCCATTAGATTTCCATGCAGAATCTTCTTCTGTTCTTATTCTATGTGGTTATGATTTCAACCAGCTCTGTGGATTCTGTTTTCACTGCCTTCTGATGTCTCCCAGACCTTATCTGGAGCTATAGACCACACATCCACCTGCCTTCCAGACATCTTTATTTGAAGGTTCCATAGGAATCTCAAAATCAGCATGTCCCAAAGCTCATCATCTTCACTAACCTTCACCAAACTTGCTCCTTCATCAGTGTCTCCTCCGCTGAGTGCTTACCCACCCAGATACCTAAGCTAGAGATAGCAGTCATCTCTGGTCTTCCTATCACATCCTATTTAAAAAGAGAGGGGTTTTTATCAAGAAGAACTGGGAACTTTTGCTCTTTCTCTTTAGGAACCTGTCCTGGGTTTGTATCATTTCCTTTTGGTCTCATTGCATCTTTTGTTACTGTATCTGCCAAGGAATACTGCAAATGTTCCAGATGCACTGGGTGCTGCCAACCCACATCTTAAATCTAGGTGTATCCGCCCCAAAACTAGCATTCACACACTGAAACAAGATAGCTATTCTGTCAGGTCAACAGAGGAAAAGGTAACTGCCACATCTCCAACTATCTAATTATGGCCTGATAATAGACTGTGTTTTTTTATTTTATTTTTTATTTAATATATATTTTATTGATTTTTTACAGAGAGGAAGGGAGAGAGATAGAGAGCTAGAAATGTCGATGAGAGAGAAACATCGACCAGCTGCTTCTTGCACACCCCCTGCCGGGAATGGGCCCGCAACCAAGGTACATGCCCTTGACCGGAATTGAACCCGGGACCTTTCAGTCCGCAGACCAACGCTGTACCACGGAGCCAAATCAGTTTAGGCTAGACTGTGTTTTTAAAGATTATCTAGCTACCCCAATCCTTAGATAAGGAAATGTAGACTGTTAGAGTAGCAGCTATTTATCCTGCAAAGCTCTGATCATGAGAAGAAAAGGAAGTGGAGGAAGTTGTTGTAACACATCTGGGAAGCCTGTGCTCACAGGCTTACATCTGGGCAGGTAGAGATGTGGATTGACTTCCAAAAATAATTGTGATTCTTCATCTTTTGCAACGTTCAGTCTTTTCTTTTGTATTACCAAAATGAAAATATCTCCATTTTTTGGGTTATAAAATTAAATGATGCTAACTATAAAAAGGATTCAATGAACACAAGAAGTCTAAGGAGAAAATGAAAATCACTGGTAATTTCATTAGTCAGAAATAAACTTCATTAACACTGTAGAGTTATAACTCCTTCAACAATCTTTCCTACATCTGCAGGCATGTATACATATCTTTAAACGTTGGGTTGAATTGTACCAAGTGTTTTGTTCTAATCAGTTTGTTTCCTGAACTCAACACTGTGGGCATCTTTCTCTTTTGCTCATCATCTTTTAACAATAGCAAATGCATATTTTAATGCCTATTGACTTGAACCATTCAGTAATAAACCACCAAAAACTGCACATTCAGGAATATTTTATTATATGGACAGTACAACAAAATACTTGGAAGTGAGACTGTCCCAGAGAATCTAGGACATGGGATGATCCTGTGTCCTCTGTAGATTCTTGCCCTCATTAACTACTGGCTGCTGTTTTTGCTCTGTATTTGTAAGACCATTGCAAGTTCCTTCGTACACCTAAAACCCTACTATTTCCTCCCAAAGCGTCTGATCCCTTTTGTTGTCCCTTAGTGTCAGTGACTCTCTGCTATTCCATCCTGAGTGTGTTCCTCAGCAATCTAGGCTCCAGAGTTGCTGAGTACCCTTTATGATCTGTTAGAAAGTGTTGGGACCCTTTACCTCTATCTATCATTGGGTCCTTGCATGGTTAACAGAGATCCTTTACTATTTGCAGAATACTTATGATTGTTTACACACACACATACACCCCAAACCATGCTGCCAACATATTTATAACTGTCTCCACAACATCTCCCTCCATTCTCAGGTTATCCATGACACAACTTCTACCAGTCTTTTGGTTTTAAGAGTGTTTTATTTACAACACTCTTAGGGAAATTTTCATTCCAACTTTGGCTTTTTTTTTTTATCAACTTTTATTTCTCCTTGGAAATACAGAGGACTGGCTTATTTGCCGCTACATTTGGTGCCAGGACTTGTGCCTCAAACCTCGCTTCTTCTTCCTGAAACTATTGCAAGGAAATGGATGCCATTTTATAATCCCTCCACCTCAGGCAACAATTCAAGCACATGGCCCCTTGAGAGTTCATAAGGAGCTATCAGCAACATGTATGGAATGCCAGCCATGGGCCATGCCCCACCTGGGCTCTGTGTTTATCTCATTTAAACCTCAGCGCTGCTCAGAGGAACCTGAGGTTTTGGAAGGTTAATTTGCCCAAGATCTTATTACCAGTAAGTATTCATGGTTCAAACCCAAAACTCCGTGGCCCAACATGTTTGGATTCTTATCACAAACACAAATCACAGATAGTATAGTTTCCTCCCCTCCACTGTTTCTAACCCTCCACTGTTGCCCTCTGAGGGTCTCTTACTCTGTTTTGCTCTACATAATGTTTTTAAAATAGTGGTTATCTTTCTGGTGCCTGAGGCCTGCAGCTTTGCTTCAGTAGGACTGTTTTCCCTGTAGTGACCCTCCCTACTCTGCACTGCTCTGGGTGGCTGAGCCCCATGGCTCCTGCTGGGGTTTCTGCACCGGCTTCTGGCAGACCAGCCTCTCTTGCTTCTCCATCATCTCTGACTTATCTTCTGAGTTGCCTTTGTAGCTTCTCCCCTTAGAGGGTACTGTCCTATGGCTCTCTTCTCGCTTTTCCTGTCTGACATTTATGTCATGACTTAAGCATGACTCCCAGTTAGCCTGACCTGGCCCTGCTGCCTGACTCCTTCATTTGATTGCCTTCCAATGTCTCTGACCAGATGTCCTGAAGGTTCTTCAATCTTAGCATGTCCAACAACTAAGCTCACTTCTCCAGCCATCTCCTTTATGGGCTTTCTCCTGGCTTGGTTCATAATATCACCATCTACTATCATCCATCTTCTAAACAGGAAACCTTAGAGATACATTGCATTCCATTCTTTCACACCTCACACTCAAATGATTTTCAAACCTTGGGCTCTACCTCAGAAGTATCTCCCAAGTCCAGCCCTTTATTCCCTCTGCCCCTGCCTTAATTCAGCACTCCACTCTTGCTTGCACTGTGTGAATGGCCTCTTTACTAGCATTATCTTCTTAAAAACCAAAACTGATTATGTCACCTGTCTTCAAAATCTTTGCAGTTTTGCTTTTATCTGTAGGATCAAGTCCATGTTCCTGGTTTTGATAGAGCAGTCATCATAATTGGGTGCCTATCTCTGCACCTCCAACTGAACCTCTGCTTGCTTTCCTGTCAGCTCCTGTATCCTACTGACACTTCAGCCTGGAGAGTAGCCCATATCCCTAAACATGGCATCCTTCTTCCCACATGTTTATTGTCTTCCCTGAAGCCCTTCTACCTGGCAAATGCTCATTCTTCAGACCTGGCTCAAATGTCACCTCTGAGATGCTGCTACCCATCAGATGTGGCTGGGCCATCCTCTGCGCTCCTGCACACATATCTGTGCATCTCCACCTCTTGGTATCCATCTGATTAAATGGACTCAGATGAGGGTTCTTGGGGGCATCAATGTGCTTAACACCTGCACAGTGCCTCGTAATGCCCTCTGTTCTTTCCAGAACCGCTGTCCTCTGTGATACACAAACCTCTGAGGGGGAGGGGATTGTGACCTTTTACTCCCCCAAATCATTTTCTCTGGCTCATGTCTGAGCCCTTGGCAGTGGTACTCAGAGTGTCTATAATGCTCTCACATTCAGCCCAGAGCCGCACCATTCCCTTCTCTCCCAGGAATCTGCATCTTGATCAATTCCCAAAATGATGCTAGTATTCCCTGAAGTTGTGACTTGTTCCAGAGCAGTGCACACCCACTAATGTTGAGAAAGAATGCTGGTTCCTTCAGACATTTACCACAGGGGAGAACTTAAGGAAGACTGGGACTTGCTGCAAAGCAAACCTCCTTCCTGGAGAGTCGCAGTATAATTAGCATATTACAGGGTAGAGAAACCCCTAAAACAAAGACAACACAAGCAAACCAACCAAATAGCCTGATTTTCACAAGGGTAGCTTTCTTCTTTATATATATAATTTTTTTTATTGGTTTCAGAGAGGAAGGGAGAGAGAGCTAGAAGCATCAATGATGAGAGAGAAGCACTGATTGACTGCCTCCTGCACATCCCCTAATGGGGATTAAGCCCACAACCCAGGCAAGTGCCCTCATCAGGAATTGAAATGTGACCTCCTGGTTCATGGATAGATGCTCACCCATTGAACCACGCTGTTTGGGATACAAGGGCAGCTTTCATTCTCCCTTCATATACATTAACACTCCTGCACCTCTAAACACTGCTTCCCTACTCTGCCCTGGAGCACCATATGTCTAGGATGATTTTAAATGAGGGAATCCCTTCATTAAAGGGCACTCAGCCGCTGAGAGTTCCTGCCCCTGCTTTATCCCTGCTCTGCCTGTGGCCCCTTCTGCATCCTTCAGCAGGTCTCACAGCTCCTCTCCTCCCTGTCTCCCTGCAGGGGGAGTTCTCTATGCTGCCACTGTGAAAAACTACCTGGGGACAGAGCCGATTATCTCCCGGGCTGTGGGCCGTGCAGAGGATTGGATTCGGACAGAGACCTTGCCATCCTGGCTTAACGGTGGGGAGAGGAAGAGGGGTGCTTTGGGGACAGAGAGGGTGGGTGGAGGCTGGGTGGCCCCACACTGAGTCTGTGGGATCTGAGGCCACAGGTCTCCCCAGCTCCAGCCTTTGTCGCAGCCATGGCCTTGAGGCCAGCTGAGTGGGGGGATGAAGACGGAGACAAGGAAATCTACTTCTTCTTTACGGAGACTTCTCGAGCATTTGACTCATACGAGCGCCTTAGAGTTCCTCGGGTGGCCCGTGTGTGCGCGGTGAGACTCTGATCCCAGCTGTCCGTCTGTCTGTCTGTTGTCTCCTGCTCTGCCTGGTCTCTGTCTTTCTTTCTCTGGGTCTCTGTCTTTGCATTTCTCCTCTGTCTCCATTTTCCCTGTCTTATTTTCTGCAAAGAGTGTGGGAAAAGGGCTCTAGCCCCTTTAACTCCATAACTACCCTTGTGACACAGAGTCCCTGGGAGGTGTAGGGGTTAAAGGGAATTGTTGACAGACCTGGGCTCCCGACCCTGTTCTACTACTTCCTGCCTCTGTGACTTGGGGCAGGTTCTTTAGCATCCTCATAGATGAGGATATTGATGATGCCTAGCTATAAGGGTTGTTTTGAGGACTAACTGAGTAAGGTATGTGAAGCACGTAGTATAGTGGTTCATAAGTGCAACAATGAACTTAGTCACCGTCATTGTGACCCTGTCTACCCATGTATCATTCCCTACTGCTAACTCTGTCTGTATCTCTACGTTGCATTTTTATGCATCTGTCTCTCCATCTGTCCTTGTCTGGGGGAAACTTGTATTGGTCTCCACATTCTCCCTACCATTAGTCTTCTAAAGAGAAATTCCCATGCTCTTGTCACCCCAGGGGGACCTTGGGGGCCGGAAGACCCTCCAGCAGAGGTGGACGACCTTTCTGAAGGCTGACCTGCTGTGTCCAGGGCCTGAAGATGGCCGGGCCTCTAGTGTCCTGCAGGACATGGCTATTCTTCGACCTGAGACTGGAGTGGGGGCCCCCATCTTTTATGGCATCTTTTCCTCCCAGTGGTGAGGGGGTCCTGGCGTGGAGGAGAGTTACAGGGTGGGAGATACATGGGGTTGGCACCTTTCAGTGCTGTCTCTTCCAGAGGGGGTGGCCTCTCCCAGGAGCTGGCTGCATGGCTCCTATGCATTTCTTATGGGTCATCTCCTTTGACAGGGGGTGAGTGGTCCCCTAGAGCTCTTCAGGTATCTGGCTCCAACCTGTGTCTCTTCCAGGGAGGGCGCTGCCATCTCGGCTGTCTGTGCCTTCCGACCACAAGACATTCGGACAGTGCTGAGCGGTCCCTTCAGAGAGCTGAAACATGACTGCAACAGGGGACTGCCTGTCATGGACAGTGATGTACCCCAGCCCAGACCTGGAGAGGTAAGGGGTCTGGGGCAGCTCTCACCCCATGCCAGAATTGCCTCATGAGAGCAAGAGCCCAACTAAGCATCACAGATACTTCCTGGGCCCTGGGAAACTTTTGCCACCTATCCTGTGTTTTCTCTAGTGCATCGCTAACAACATGAAACTCCAGCAGTTTGGCTCATCACTCTCCCTGCCTGACCGTGTGCTCACCTTCATCCGGGATCACCCCCTCATGGACAGGCCAGTGCTTCCGGCTGATGGCCACTCCCTGCTGGTCACTACAGATACAGTCTATCTCAGAGTTGTGGCCCACAGGGTGGCCAGCCTCTCAGGGAAAGAGTATGATGTGCTCTACCTGGGGACAGGTATGTTTAGCAACCAAGTACATCGCCCATCTTGTGCTCTTGTCAAAGAGAGGGTCGTATACTTACAGGTTTGAGAGTCCCAGGCACAGGTACAGTGTGTCATTATGTCATGCCTTCTGCCTGCTTCCTAGAGGATGGACACCTCCACAGAGCTGTGCGGATTGGAGCCAAACTCAGCGTCCTTGAGGATCTGGCCTTATTCCCAGAGCCACAGCCAGTTGAGAATATGAAATTGTATCAAGTGAGTCATAGATTTCAGGGAGTCTGGTGGGGAGACATCTGAGCTAGCTTGTGACCCCGAAGTTTGGGAGATGCAGCATAGTCCTCTTTTTACTCACTTTCTCTAGAGCTGGCTCCTGGTCGGGTCCCGTACTGAGGTAACACAAGTGAACACAACCAACTGTGGACGTCTCCAGAGCTGCTCAGAGTGCATCCTGGCCCAAGACCCTGTCTGTGCCTGGAGCTTCCGGCTGGATGCATGTGTGGCCCATGCTGGGGAGCATGGAGGGTGAGTGTGGCTGCCCTGGCCTCTTGCCTGCTGTCACAGGGCTCTGACTTCTCCATATATCTGCCTGTTTCTGATCTGTTCATGCTGCCCTGTGTGTTCCTTTTAGTGTCACTATGTTTGTCAGTCCCTACTATCTCATCTGTTTGTCATCATGCGACCTTATCAATGTTCCTGCCACTTTGCTAGACCTGCCCTGGACCATGTGACTGATTTTCATGTTGCCTTACACTTCTCAGTTTCCATTTTATAAGAGCTCTTAGAAGTATTTTCACAGTTGACCACTCCCTCCTTTCTGCCTTGAAGTACTCTTTCCTGTTGCCTTCTATGACTCTGCATTCTCCTGGTTTTCCTCCCTATCTCACCAGCCTGTCTCCCTTTACTCATTCCTTTCCATCCATTTTCTGAATTTTGATATTTCTCACGGTTCAGTCCTTCTTTATACACTTCTTTGCACTCTCTAGGTGTTATTATTCCCATTATTTTCAACACCAACCAAGTGTTGTTGACAGCTACAGATGTATCTATGTTGAGTTACAGAACTTATCCAACTGCCTACTTGGATCCTTTAAAGGTGCTCAAATTTAGCAGGTCTTAGCATGAACTGTTGTTTTCTCATTCTTTCACATGGTTCTCTGGTCTTCCTTATCTCAAAAAAGGACCTCTGTGAATCCAGTTGCTCAAAGCCAGAAATTGCCCATACTGTATTGCAGTTGGTACTGACTCTAGCTCCATCTATTACATCCTCAGTCCTCAGCAACTTCTCTCCTTCTCTACTGCTATCACCCTTGTCCTAGCCATCATCATTTCTTAATTGGATTACTCTAATAACCTCTAAATTGGTCTTGTTTTGTCCATTTGGGGATCCATTTTCCACTCAGCAGTTAACTTAAAATCAAGTGCCACATTGAAGCATATACCTGACATTATATTCATCTATAATATTTCATTATATATTGTATCAGATAAAAACTCTCTTAAAAATATTTTATTATAGGAAACTTCAAACATTCAAAAACTAGATAGTATAATGAATTTCTGTGTATCTATCATTCAGCTTCAACAACCATCAATTGACCAGTCTTGCTTGATCACTATCTTATTCACTCGCAATTATTTTAAAGCAAATCTTAGACATCATATCACTTCATCATAAATCTTTCTGTGTGTATCTCTAACACAGAAAGGCTTTAAAAAAATGTAACCATATTATCATTATCACACTGCAAACTCACTTTCTTAATGTCATCAACTATCTAATCAATGTCTGATTTTCACAATTGCATATACTTAAAGATAGTTTGCTTAAGTCAGGATCAAAATAATGTCCATCAGTTGTAATTGGTTGATATGTTTCTTAATTCTTTTAATCTTTAATTAAGATTCCTTTCAAATGAGTATTTTTAGTTAATTGTTTGGAAGGTATTTTTTTAGACTGACTTCATGACTTACTATTTTAAAGCCCAGTTAATTTACTGTATATTTGTGCATACTACTAAATCCCAATCTTACAAATATTTTAGAAGTAAAAGTACTTGTTTTTGGGAATTGATTTTGGTTAAGAACTTTGATCTGGTATTTTAGTTTCTATTGGGAGAACTTTGACACATCTCAGATGAAAACAAGTGCTTGGTTCTTCTCTTTATTGCTTTAATATCCATTAAAATAAGAATTTCGTTGGAGTTGGATATCCTGTGTACTTGAACCCTGGGGTCTTCTCCACATACGGATGTATGTGTGGGTAGGATGTGGGGTGTGCATATATGCCAGTATATTTCTTAGTAATATGACCAAACTGGTACTTCTATGCACTCTACTCTTCATACCTCAACTCATATAAGGGAGAAAACACAGACCATGAAGTTCTGTGGCTAAAGCCATACCTATGGCCTTCCCATGTTCCCCACTGTCAGCTAGACTAAACAAATTTGGTTTTACCTGAAGACTTTAATATATTCATACCAGTCTCGGAGCTTGTTTCAGGGGCTCCAATTCATGTTGAAGGAATTCACACTCAATCTACTTTTGGTTGAAGCTTTTGTGTTCCACCTGATCTTCACTGACAGGCCACTAGAGGTCTCTGTGGCCTCTCTCTCTCCCTCTGGTAGTGGTGCCAGGAAGTTCAGAGTGAGCAGCCTGTCTTGCTGTCTGACATTCAGACACAGTCCATTGAAATCCTGACAATACCAAGATTGTATTATTTGAAACAGATCTGTTAGAGTCCAGATAGGTACTAATAGTTGTTGAAGAAAGAGTTCCTGCATAGAGATGAGCAGCTTTATGAAATAAAGTCATCTCACTGATCCTCACAGAGTTTTAATTAACTTTTATAGAGAAGTCTTCCCTTTCTTTTAACAGGAAAAAACAAAAACAAAAAACAACCCAAAACCAAAAAACAACAAACAAACCCCAGACCACCCTGTATTTTTAATATTATTTTCCAGAGAAATCTTATGGTGTGGACAGTCAGCTATATTTCTTGGAAAATCCAATGTTTTTTTTTTTTTTTTTAAAGCACACCACCAAACATCTTTCCAACAGACCTAGTGCAGATTTAATTTTGTATGGTCTGCTAGAACATATGTAGAATTTGACATGTCAATTGTCATGAGGAGTATTGAGGGAAATTTTAATGATGAGAATGTTGACTGATAATTCTAGGAGTGATTAATGAGATGATGGAAGATATAAATATTCTGTGGTACTGGGGAGTATAGAGGGCGATATTGACACTGGATTTATCAAACATTCTCTTCTTTGTAGGCTTGTTCAAGACATAGAGTCAGCGGATGTCTCCTCTTTGTGTCCTAAAGAGCCTGGAGGTCTGTCTGGTTTAGGGAAATGTGGGTGGAGTTGGGTGAAAAGAGGCTAGAAAGTTGTCCATTTTGGACCCTTTAAACTTGGATCCTGGAAGATATGGTAGCCAGTGACCTGGGCCTTACCCTTTTTGGGAATCTCCTTTTAGCTTTGCCCCATGGTTCCTTCTCAAATCTGATATCCTCCTATGCTTCTCTTCATTCCACTCCATCCCCCAGCCTATAGCCTCACTACCTTTTATGCCTTTGCTGTTTCTTTGCAGAACACCCAGTAGTGTTTGAAGTTCCTGTGGCTACCGCTGCGCATGTGGTCTTGCCATGTTCCCCAAGCTCAGCCTGGGCATCCTGTGTGTGGCACCAGCCCAGTGGAGTGACTGCTTTTACCCCCCGGAGGGATGGGCTAGAGGTGGTGGTAACCCCAGGGGCCATGGGTGCTTATGCTTGTGAATGTCAGGAGGGTGGGGCAGCCCGGGTGGTAGCAGCTTATAGCTTGGTATGGGGCAGCCATCAGGGCCCCTCAAGCCGGGCCCGCACTGTGGGGGCTGGACTGGCTGGCTTCTTTCTGGGGGTTCTTGCAGCATCTCTGACTCTCCTCCTGATTGGTCGACGTCAGCAGCGACGGCGGCAGAGGGAACTTCTGGCTAGAGACAAGGTGGGCTTGGACCTGGGGGCGCCGCCATCTGGGACCACAAGCTACAGCCAGGATCCTCCCTCTCCCTCTCCTGAAGATGAGCGGCTGCCCCTGGCTCTAGGCAAGAGGGGCAGTGGCTTTGGTGGCTTCCCTCCACCTTTTCTGCTTGATCCTTGCTCGAGCCCAGCCCATATCCGGTTAACTGGGGCTCCTCTGGCCACGTGTGACGAAACATCCATCTAGGGCGGGCAAGTGACCACTAGGGCATGAGTGGCCACTGGAATGGAGTGACCGTTGAGATGTTGGGGTCACTGGGCCTGGAAGACCATCATGGCCTCTGAGTTCTCTTTGGCCTTTGAGTGATCACTTGACTTCAATGTGAGCCCTCTCTGGGCCTTGATGGACTCGAGGCCAGGCCTTTGTCTGAATCCTGATTCCTGATTCCCATGAGAGATCAGAACTCTCTGCAGTGAATCAGGACTTTTCCCACCCCTGCTCTCTGAACCCTGGTGACTCCTTCAGTCCTGGCCCATTATTTTGGGCCCATAAATTTGGAGAGGGCATAGGACATAGCTATGACTTTCCTTCTGGTTTTATCCTGGCCAGAAGGAGGAGCTATGGAGGCACTTGGAAGCTAATGTGCACTGAGTCCTTGGAGTGGTTTTGCTGATTCTTCCAGTTAGTCTAATTCTCTGTGAGAGTGCATGATCTCCCTCTACCCCACTTTTCCTTCTTCCATGAAAGAGCATGTGTATATATGAGTGTTCATAGGACACCTGCTAAATGTGCATGAATGACTGGGCCATTGCTCAGGTGTGTTCATCGGGGGTAAAGAGGGGGAAGGTTGGAATGGGGGAGTTAACTGCAGCACTTTAGACCCTATAGCCAGTGAAGGAATGGCTTTCTAATAGAAAATAAACAACTGCCCCCACTCCCCCAATCACTTTTCACAACCCTTCTCTTGAGTTGAGAAAAACTCCCAAAAAGGCCTTCTGGGTGGGAAGGGTAGCAGTACATGTGACCCCATATTTCTGTTTGTTTTTGCCTCCTGGCTGCCACCACTGCCATGCTCTCTTCCTCTGGCTGGAGTGCAGGCTGGACCCCTTTTCCTTGGCTCCCATTAAAAATAAATTTCACAACATTCTAAATATTAGGGAACAACAAAAGGGGAACAGTCATAGGAAATGCAAGCAGTGTAAAGATAAGTTTGTATCAGTGACTTTACTCAGGTTGATACCCTTGCCCTAAAGCAGCTAGTTCTCTAGAGGGGGTCCATGGACTCCCTGAAATCGTATGCAAAATGTTGTCTGTATATGTGTGTCTGTGTTTTTTTCTGGGGGGATGTTTTATGGCTTTCATCAGATTCTCAAGGCCTTAACAAAGTTAAAGGACCACTGCCCCCACGTCATGACACCGTTGGCCAAGCTGAGATGGTGCCACTCAGCAGCAGCTCTTCTGCCCCAGCCCACCTGCTCTGTGGCCAGCCCCTGGACCTGCAGCTCCTGGATGCCATTTCATTTCTCCAGACCCTGGAAGCTGAGCTCTGTGCATATTTGAAGACACTGTCAACTTTCACTAAACTTAAAGACTTCTTCCTGCTTCACAGCTCGCAGATGCTTTAGGCTTCTCCTACTCGGTTCTGGTCTTGGCCTGTAAATGTGCCTCATTCATCCCTGGTGAGGGATTTTCCCTCCACCCGCCTTGAGCTCCAATGAATGATCCAGCCCTTCCCAGTTGAAGTTTTCAGCTCTACTTTCCTTGGCGGCAGCCTGTGAACCACCCAAAAGAGTCCCCTTGGGTTTGGACTTATCAGTGGCTATGCCCTAACAAGTGTATGATCTTCAGCAAGTAATGTAACCTGGGAACATTGGTTTACTCATCTGTAAAGTGGGGATAATAATAATACCTACCTCAAGGTTGCTACAAGGATTAAATGAGAACATGTAAACAATAAAGCACTATCTATACCAGTAGAGGTGGTTGTGTAAACATTGGACTATTGCACCATAATTATACCCCTTAACCATGACACATGTATCACTTTAAGCTCCATTTGGTGGAAGGAGGGTCATTTCCTCACACAGATGTCATCTCTGGCCAGATCTTAGCAGCCAGTGTCTAAGGCCTGTAGGTGCCAGGGCCTGTGGTTTATTGTAATCCTCAGATGTTTGACCTTAGTGACCTTAGTCCTTTGTGGGAATGGAGGAAGGTGTATGTTCTTCAGTTTGTCCTCACTTTACTCTCAAAGTTAAGTGTTCATTCCACTTGAGGGAGGAAAGGAGATGGGAGATAGATGTAAGAGGGGTCTGGTGTCTCTGAGGAGGGGAGGAGAAGAATTTTCCAGGGTGGGAGGAATTCAAACATGTGCAGCCCGCTGGCCACGAGTTTGACATGCTTGGATTAGATCATGGTGGATTTGAGCATTTGGTTCTTAAACAGTGGCTCTGGTTGGAGGAAAATGGGACGAGGAATGGAGGAAAAACGAGGAATGATGGAAATAGACATGAAGTGAGGAAAATCATCTCTTAGTTGGAAAGTTCAAGCCCCAAGGGTGAGTGAGAGCTCAGGAATGTGAAGCCAGCCCTTAGAGAAATAGTTGGAGTAATTGCATTATCTTTGGGGTGTGGGAAGAGAAGAGAGCTGGAGGATGCTGCAGGATTCCTACAGGGACAATTGTGAAGATTCTGGCAGCCAGAGACCTGGCTGGCTTCACACATTAAAGAAGGGTGAAGATGAGACTTGCACCTCACTTCTTGGCCTCTTTTTTTTTTAAATATATTTTATTGATCTTTTTTACAGAGAGGAAGGGAGAGGGATAGAGAGCCAGAAACATTTATGAGAAAGAAACATCGACCAGCTGCCTCCTGCACACCCACTACTGGGGATGTGCCCGCAACCAATGCACATGCCCTTGACCAGAATCGAACCTGGGACTTTTGTCTGCAGACCGATGCTCTATCCATTGAGCCAAACCGGTTTTGGCTGGCACTCACTCTTAAATTCCCCTCTGTTTTTGGCTCTGGTTCATGATCCCTAAACTGTTATCTTCAGCTTGTCACTCCTACTATTGTCTGCTGCTACCCACGTTGCCTTACTGAAAATAGAGCCAGAAAGAGATGCTCATTATGGGCTCTTATGAGCCAAGGGAGCTCTAGCACAGCATGGCCTAACCTAACAGGCCAACTCACATCTTTTCCCTGGAGACCCCCCAGTCCCTCCCTTTTCCCAGCAGCCCACAACTTCACTGGTGGCCTCAGTGATGGTGGGAAATGTCCTTTTGGTATCTGCTGGGTCCTGACTGTCCCAGCTTTTTTGCTATTGTCATGGCTGCAACAGGTCCTGCCTGTCTCAAGGGTATAGTGATAAGACTTGCCTTTTTTGGCAGAGGCAAAGTTGGAATTTTGAAAGGTTTTTACCAACTAGAAAAACTAGCAGTAAAAGTACAAAAAATCTTGCTGTAGTTTTTAAGTTTTCCCTCATGGGCCCCAGGACAGGCCTCTCTGTGACATGGTAACTTGTGTGACCAGTGGACAACAGGTGATCTGGACTGATGAAAACACCAGGTGCTGATTGAGGTGGGGAATGGCAAGCAATAGAGAAGGGATCTAGCTTCCTGAGGATGTTAGATGGGGTCAGGGGTCAGGGGTCAGGTTAAGAGGGCTGCTCCAGGCCCTGTGGAGAAATAAGTGCAAGTCAAGAACTCTTCCTCTTTTCTTTCCCCTTGGTTCCCAGCCCAGGGGACTGGAGTTTAGGGCTATAGATGCATCTTGGACCTGCCCAGGGGTGGGTGTGGCACTCCTCATTTATGACAGAGTTGGCACTCTGAGACTCAGCAGGGGTAGAATTTTTAAATGTTTTACAAGGGCGGAAAGAGTGCTATAGGTAGATGGTGGTGATGGTTGCATAATATTATGAATGTACCGTATTTTTCGGACCATAAGACGCTCCGGACCATAAGACGCACCAGTTTTTAGAGAAGGGAAATGAAGAAAAAAAGATTCTGAAACAAATAGTGTCCTAAAATATTTTATGTGCATTAAAACCCAACATCACAGTCATAAACACATGTAATCAACCCTGTAAAGTAAACAGCAGCATTTAGAACCATTTTAGAGCCGGGCAAGCACACAGAGACCACACAGAGCTGGGCAAGTAAAAAAACTTTTTTTTTAAGTATATGTGTAGGCTATATTTGGACCATAGGATGCAGGGACTTTTTCCCCCCACTCCTGGGGGGAAAAAAGTGCGTCTTACGGTATTTAAAATTACTGAACTGAGTACTAAAAAAATGGTACTTAAAAGCTTCTCTTCTTCAGACATAAGGTTTCACCTTAAAAGGAGATGGTACATTTTATATACATAAGATTTAAATAAGTAAAAAAGAAGTGAATAAAATGCTATACCTGCCCTTTGAAGCTCCTAACTCAGTGGAGAGGTAGATAAGTGAACGGAAAAGCATTGTTGTCAAGGTACAGTCCCAAGTTCTGAGGAACCCAAAGACAGTGCCTTCTGCTGACACCTCTTATGAACTGGCAGCTTGGGAAACAGACTTGAGACACCAACCAAAGGCTCTGTACCCCCTACGGGACTCTCCTGTAGCTAGCGAGACAGTCTCATGTGATCTAGTAACAGATAGGCAGTCCAGGGAGACATATGCTTCATTTGTTCTCTCTCTTTTATTTTTTTTTTATCCAATTTTTCATAATAAGATTATTGAAAACAAGATGTTCTCCTGTCTATGAAACTGGCTATGATTTTTAAAAAGGTGAATGATCATTGCGTTGACCACAGTTTGGGAAGGAATTGGGTATTCTATTGTTGGACATGAAATTAATACAAACTCTACAGAAGGCCTTCTATTTTAATTCCTATTAAAAACTTTAAGATGTTTATATCATTTGACCCAGTAATTACCTTCTGGAAGTTTATTTTAAGGAAATAACAGTATAATTGTGCAAAAATATGTTTCTAAAGGTTTTTATTTTAATGTTAATTATAAGTCTAAAATATTAGAAAAATTTAATTATTCAACAAGAGAAATTTGGTTAAGGAACCCCATATTGACTAGAAAAACTTAAGTGAACAAAATAGAAAACCATGAGGCAGAAGAGCAGCCCTGCCAGCCGGGAGCTGGCCTGGTGTCCCAGGCAGCCCTGGTGTTCTCCCACCTCACAGGACACCAGCATCTGCTAAGGCCACACTGGGATGTGACGGATTGAGAGGAAACAAGACCACTCCGTAATCATGTGTGCACACAGACAAACAGGAACATTGTCCAAACCACGAAAATGACCAGGCATCCAGCTGTTCCAGCTGGAGGAGAGGCTGCTGCTGCCTTACCAGCCCTTCACCTGCTCCAGCATCATATTAGTCGTCCCTCCATCTGGATGAGACTTAGTAAGGCACCCAGTCAGCATTACCCCACTTCCTGGCAACACCCCACCCAGAGCAAAGCCCTGCTTCCTTAAAGCCTCCTGCAAACACCTAGTGCAAGCCTCAAGTTCCTCCTAATAGCGTCTTCCTGAGATGCCCCACAGTTCCCCATGAGTTTATAATATATATTTCTATAGCCATAAAAATGTGTGGAATAATACACACAGAACTGTTAGCAATGGTTATCCCTGATGAATAATTTTTACCTTTTTAAAAAATACGTATTTTTATTCATTTCAGAGAAAGGAGGAGAAAGAAAAGTAAAAACATTGATGATGAGAGAGAATCATTGATTGGTTGCCTCTTGCAAGCCCCACCCTGGGATCAAGCCTGCAACCTGGGCATATGCCCTGACCAGGTATCGAACTGGGGACCTCCTGGTTCATAGGTAGATGCTCAACTACTGAGCTGCATCAGCTGAGTGACTACGATTTTAAAAAAAGCAATATGCTTGGAGAGAGAGATGAGAAGAAAGGAAAAGAACATAAAGGAGAAGAGCGAACTGTGAGTGATGATGACACTGACAGGGGAAG